CCTTAATTTCGATATTTTTAACAAAATAAAATAACAAAAATAAATTTTTTTATCACATCAAAAAAACAAAGTCCTAATATAAATATTTTTTTTTTGACTCAAAATCAAACCCCTAATTTCCTTTCGAACGCGGGCCAAAGGCTTGGGGACAATAAAGTAAATTTACATCTTATCCAAATATTCCGAACGTCACAGAGACAGAACCAAACTGAAACTGAGAGATGGGGACTTTACAATCAGCATCTAAGCGAGTGACCACAGCGTCAACCAACTCGTCCGAGTTCAACTCATCATGCGACTCAGCCTACACCCACTACTTCTCCCTAACCGAACACGCCTTCCCCGGTGTCCTCCCTTACCAGCTCTTTACAGCCGCCACCCACCTCCACCAAAGCCTCACTTCCCTCCACCCTCACCCTCTCATTCTCCGCCGGGTCCTGACCCCCCCACTCGCTCCCAAGTCGACTCAGCCTTCCGAGTCGTAACTCGCCATCAACATAATCCCCGGAACAATGAAGAACAGCTGGTCCTCGGCTCGACCCAGTTCAGGGAATCGGCAATGGCGTTAAACTGCCTCTAAATTTTACCTTTTCATGGGCCAGGGGAATGACTAGGTTGTTTGAAATTAAAGTATGAACTGACAACAGGGATATGCACCACCTAATTCAGATAGAAGGGAAGGAGTTCTGAGGAGGTAACCCCTTGAGTATCTTGATTGTGTTGCTCAATTTTATGACATTCCAGACACTGAACGGTTAGATGATTTGATTAATATGATTCGCCAGGTACCTTCAGCCCTTACTTAATTACCAAACTCGATTGTGCGCCTTCTATACCCATTAACAAATGCGTTTATTCTGTTTGTTAGATTGCTGTTGATTGTCCTAGAACTGTACCTGATGTTGCTTTCTTTCAGCAAGCACAAGCTCAAAAATCCTTGGAGCTCATTCTTTATGCATGGTAAGATACTATTTGGATTGGTGAATTCAAATTTGTTGATGACTTTCTTATAACATGTAAGACAATATTTTTTAAGAATTGATAACTAAAACTTCTGGTTTTATGGATAATAGAAGGCTTGATTCTTCTATGTGTAACAATTATGTTTGAATTAGTGTTTTTTAACTGTTACTCTTTTTTAATTATACATATCATATGGTATGCCGATTTCTTGTTTCACTATTTGTGACTGCTTCAAAGAAACATTTGAGGAAGCAAAATACAAATTGTAGAAAGCAAGTAATAAAACAACAACCTAATAGAGTGTTAATTGTACATTCACATTCAGTTGTTAATAATTATATTTTGGGAGGTATTTTAGATTGTACTATATTTATTTAATCCCTGCTTTGTTTTCTTTGATTAACCAAGAAAATTCCTCCTACTAGCTTCATTTTTTTGCTTTATAAATTTGAGTATTTTCTTCTTCTGTGTTAGGATACAGTTTCCAGATTTTTTATGCTTTTTTTATAAAATTGAAATTTTTTAGTAGTTGATATGATCATACAAGTTTACAGTCTAATTTTAGTATCCATTCGCATGGAACCCCAAATGGTCTTAACTGGAGATGTTTAACTACTGTGGTTGGACATATACCTCTCACTCAGATAGATACTTGTTTAAGTTCTATCCTAATAATTTGTATGCTGTAGTTCGGATTCTAGTGGCTAAATACTTTACTAAGATGTCCTATATAGATACTTGTTTAAGCTCTATCCTAATAATTTGTAAGCTGTAGTTCAGATTCTAGTGGGTAAATACTTTACAAAGATGTCCTATACTACTATTGTTACTTTTGCCTTTACTTGTAAAGGTTTCTAACTTCTGGTAAATCTTCAATGTTTAATAGGCCTCTGAACGGTAAACATAAAAAAAGTTCTCTCAAATGTTGGTATGATTTATCCTTTGATTCTTTCTGAACTGTCTACCACACTATAATGACTTCATGATTGCTGTTATTTTGGAGAGCTTGGAGGTCATTTTATATCATGATATTATGATTACACAGAGCTTTGAAGTCTACTATCTGAATTTTTGCTGCTCCAGTTTTAATGTAAATCTCTACTTTGGTGCCCTGATCACTTCTTTTTTCTTAATAATGTGTTTGAATTCCATATTTTAAGTGATAGTTGATGACGGTAAATTATTATTTTCAAATGGAGCTATAACTTATGCAGCTTAAGATGCTAAGAGATCCCTGTTTTGATGATAATTGATGTTTTTCTTCAACTTCGTGTACAGGGCCATTCGGCATCCTGCAAGTGGATATGTGCATGGGATAAATGATCATTTCACACCCTTTCTAGTTGTCTTCTTATCAGAATGCTTAGAAGGGAGAATAGATAGGTTGTCAATCTCTGATATATCTTCAGAGAAAATCTCCAACATAGAAGCTGATTGCTATTGGTGCTTGTCAAAGTTGTTTGATGGCATGCAAGACCATTACACATTTGCTCAACCAGGAATCCGGAGGCTTGTTTTGAAGCTGGAGGAATCGGTTAGGCGCATTGATGGTAAACTCTTTAGGGGCCTTCAATCCTCTCCCTGTATTTTTTTTATTCATGAACTCAACCACCATTTGCTTTGTGAAGGGAATTTAAGCCTTCATTGATTGTGCAGAATTTTTTCTTGTAATGGTTCTAAAGAAAGCAAGAGGTTGTGCATGCATATGCAGACACAACCATCTTAATGTTATAGAAAAAAGGAATGATTTTTGTGCGTATATGTGTATCCACAAGCATTTTATTTTTAAGGTTACAGAGAAAAGAAAGAGGTTTGCATGTGTCTGTCTTTGTGGACAATGTGTAAGCATGCCCCTGTATATAATGTGCACTTGATTTTCTTTATTCACTTAAAGCTTTGTTTATTTTTTATATGTTCTAATTTCATCTCTTTGTCTTATTAACTCTTCTGTTAACTTGTACCAGAACCAGTTTCTAGACATATGGAGGACCAGGGACTTGAATTTCTTCAATTTGCTTTTCGCTGGCTTAACTGTCTGCTGATGCGTGAGGTAAGGTTTAATCCCACTATCACATGCATTTGTTTAATTATCCTGCCTTTCAAATTTTGTCTGATTGACAAACTGGTCCTACTTTCAATTTTTCCTGTGGCTCTATTAGATTTATTTGTTTATTCTTTTTTTTATATGTTTAACAGATCCCTTTCCATCTGGTATCCCGGCTATGGGACACCTATCTTGCTGAAGGAGATGCATTGCCTGATTTCCTTGTGTACATATTTTGCCAGTTTTCTTTTAACGGTGAGAAGTTCTTTAACTTCCTTTGTGCTGATGTAATTTACAAGCATTCATCTATGACTGCAACCTTAAGGAGATACAGCTATGATAATTCTTCAAATAAAAAGATGCGTGTCTGTGTGTGTTTTTTTCTTGCTTCTTTTTCTTATGACTATTTCTTTGGTCTAAAACATTAATTATTACGCCAATGGGTTGGTTGAGTTGGTAAGGTTCAAATATTTCACTTGAAAAGCACAGTTTTTAATCCCACTACCAGCAGTCCTTTTTGGTGGGTGATCTGTAAATGTAATGTAAGTCCTCTATGAGGCTTGCAGTCTGTTTTGGCCCTGAAAGGGGAAGCCTCCCCTCACCCTAAACCTTTTTACACCAAAAAAAACATAATTATTACCATGGGTGAAGCTGTTGGATGGATGACATCCAAACTTAAAGTGAGCATCTCTTACTGCTTACTTCATAGGTATAAGAGCTTGTGTTCTCTCAGATTTACTCTATTTAAATAGAATGATGCTTGTTTTCCTGCATTGCTGCAACAGCCTGTTATATCGTTTCTGTTTTGCGTAATGTCCTACTTTAAACTTCACTTCTGCATGATTCCTAAGGAACATCCACCTCCTTTTTGCTTCTCTTTATTCTTTCCTTTAAATTTTCTTTTCATCATCTCCATTATTTTCCAATAATACTTTAGAAAATTTATCCGATTCCTTACAGACCCCGCTGATGATCTTTACTGCTGTGATTTGTAAACATTCAACTGCAATTCTTTTTGTCCCATAATTAATGATGCTTCGATATTGGATGCCTCTGGAAATAATTTTGTCCTTTATGATTGTTCATAATCCTGATGAATCTTGCTAAGCTAAACGGATAAATGGTTTGTCTATATCCTCAGTGGTCGGATAAACTTCGGAAGCTTAATTTCCAAGAGTTGGTGATGTTCCTTCAACACCTTCCAACTCACAACTGGACATATCAAGAGCTTGAAATGGTACTTTCCAGGGCATACGTGGCACAGTATGTTTAACAGCTCTCCCAGCCACTTAGCTAGCTAAACAGAAATTTAATGTTTACTATATATTGACCAGTTCTCTTTTTCTCCCCTTAACTTCTATTTGTTTGTTGATCAAAGTGGTTCAAAGAGCAATGTGCATGTTTTTCTTTTCAAGTAGAGGCTAAGAAAAGTTTCTTCTTGTATTGTGGCACGTAATTCCACATATCTGTAATACCAAGCTAGCATTCCTTTGTACATCTTCCTTGAGCATAGGAAAGAACATTTTCATTGTATATCAAATTTTGATTTCCATTAACAGAGCCAAGAGAGAATGGTGTTTGATTTTTTTTTTTTTTATTTTGATCACAAATTTTTTAGCCTACCCAGAGCGGTATCTTAATTGAGATCCCAGTTGTTATTTAATGTTTGATGAACGAATCTGGATATTGTTGTTCTTGTGCCATATGAGTTAATCTTGGTTAACCAGGTAACAATCTTGAGAATGACATACTGAGTACTGAATCCTAAAGGCCAAAAGCTGAAGTGACTGTCGGCGTGAAAGCTGAAAGTGGAGAATGAAAGGAGAAGGCATTAAAATCTATATTGTTTCAAAATATGGAAGAGAGGATAAATGAAGTAACAAAGAGTGAAACCATAACAGACCTCAAGTTTAATTTAGTTGGTTTTTGCAGTTACCTTTAAGAGGTAGAATTCATAGTTTTAGAATTCAAATTTTAACATTTATAATTCTTTTTTTTAATCTTAAGTTACGATTTTCTTTGTAAAATAAAGTAAGATTATAACCAAAGATTAAACCATTAGGTCTCTTTTACATGAACTTTCTGATTTCAAACATGTATACTTGGAATCTGAAACAATTAGCCTCCATTTAACCTGTTTCTTCTCAAAATAGCAGGATACGGTCAGTTCCCATTTAAGCTGTTTCTTCTTTTGTATGTCAGGTTAACTTCTAGGGGTTGAAAACGCAGGACACTAGTGCAGGAATAAGGGATTCGTTATATTTTACTGCCTACTTGAAACGAGGTTCTGATATTAAAGGTCATCACAGGATCAAACCATGGCAAGAAGAGAGATAATTGGACATTTTCTAGTATCAAACTATTCAAGTATATTGTATAGATGATAGTCTATCTTTTCGAACAGGTTCTTTGTAAATAATACCTGTTTTTTACTCCAAGTAAACATCAATGACGGATGCCTATGGGTTATTCTTGAGTAACCAAGTAGAAATGTCATTTTATCAGTAACTGTGTTTTAATGCCACATCTTTGCTAGCTAGAGAAAGAAAATAAAAATAAATGGTAATTGAGTTGTTTATAATTTGTTCTTCATGATTTTCAATGTTAATTTATATAAAAATAATAATTAGGATGAAAATAATTTTCCTTCAGAGTCAGATTTTTTTCTAACACTTCCTTTGATGAACTCCATGCAATTAACTGTCTTGCTTACTTTTGGCAATGCAATCTTCCTTTGTATATATCAAGAAAGGTACGATGTCGAAAGTGTGGCATGTCTTGTTGTGTAAAAGGGAAGACATCACCATGCGTAAGGCAATCAGCATACTTCATCACGAATAGGCCACAATCAACCAGGCTGTTGAGGTGCAAGAAACAAGAATGGTAAGATGATAGGCAAATGTAAGGTGGAAGAGCTGTAGATTTGGAAGGAGTTCTTACTTCTCTTGCACAGGAATATCGTAACGCAATTCAAATGGCCATCTGTTTGCATTTTTATAGCCTAACGTTGGCAGTAGAAATCTTTTGAACCATCCTAAGATTGCTTCTTTTTCAACAACATGTAACATTCGTGAAGATGTGATCGAATCCAACCATGAAAATTTCTGCTTCTTGATATCAACATAGAATAGAATCCAATGTTGAGATAAACACAATGGTAGAAATAACTGCAATCACAAAAAATCACGATATACATGCGTCGATTGTTAGTTATTACAAAGAAATTTTTAAAAACTATAAAAAAAACTGAACAATATATCGAATATGCATCAAGCTTGCCTTTTCTACACCTGTTAGCTTTTGATCATCTTTAAACCATGCTAGTACTTCATGTTCTGATCTGGTTCTTTTAATCAAGTAAGTCTGATAATTGTGTAATTAATATGTAACATGTTACTGAATATATATCACCATTGTATGAAATATATGAACAATTTCAATTTCTTTGCAAGATAAAAGTAATTAATTCTTACAGCTATTTGAGAGTCAAATGAAAAGTGGTTGATGTATGCCTTTGGAAATCTATCAGATCTCTTCTTAAGCAATTTGAAAAAGGTGTTAACAACCTTCATAACAACAGAAAGGATTAGTCTAATAGCAGAAAGAGTGTCACATATCATAAAATAGTTGAGCCAAATGTCAATTACACTTTTTTTTTTTTTTGTAGTTGAAGTGGTTCGAATTTGATCTATGACCACTAAAATCAACAATCCAATCTTCTACCAATAGATCATATGACTATTAATCAATTATACGTATTATGTGTTTTAGTTTTGTTAAGTTATGACTCAGAAGAGGAGCACTGAAATTCTGACTCATTGTCAAAGGATGGACCACCATTTGGAATTTCAGTTAAGCCACTAATGTTTCTTCCATGATTAGGCTCTGTACTCAATGGGGTTTAACTTTGCTTAATAATATTGTGAACATTAATGAAACCAAAATCAAGTAGCTTGTTTTGTTGGAATACCTGATGATTTTAATGGTGCCATCCCTTCTCGCTGAAAGTTCTTTAACGCATGAGTCTCTTTCTCTTCCATCTTCCTTTTTGCCTATCATATGAAAATGCATAAAAGTAAAATTGTTTTCCTGAATTCATGGTTATAACATTGTTTTGATCGCTTATATCATATGTACCTACCATATTTTGCTGTGGTACATGATTTGCTCTGCCACCTGCGACAGTAAATGAAATTAGTGAAAACCACTAATCATAAAAAGTTAACAAAAATGTGTTAGAAATGATAAAACTCTAGCTAATAAAGTGATGAGAGGATGTAAAAAAAAAAAAGAAAGAATTGGGCTTACTTCCTTTTGGCATTTCCAACCAGTTCTGGCTGCATACCAAAGCTTCCAGGCTTTCAGGATTCAAGCTACTGTAGGCTGGATTTGTGATCACGGCACTGAGATCCGAACATGGTGGAACAATTGACACCGGCATTGCAAGGAGATCACGAGCCATTCTTCCAAGTGTAGGAAATCTTTCAGAATTAACATGCCACCAACCTAGTATATCAAACAATGTTTCATCCAAGCGAAGTAAAGGTTCGTCTAAATAGCAATCAAGTTCTGACTTCCATGAGGCCAATTCATTAAAGTTGCTTGCAGATGCAAATTTACCAAAGGAGTCCAAAATACAATCATTAGCAATCGGTGTACTTTGTCCTGTTGAACTGCCAAAATCACCAAAGTCTGATGCAGATGTGGTCAGATTTCTAGGTTCATTGGCATATTCATGGTAAACATCCATAAGAACTTTGTGAAATTTGTTCAATTGCATCTTACTATCAGGACCATAAATCTCACGGTATGAAAACTCCACAAACTTAAATTTTAATCGCGGGTCAAGAACAACTGTAACAGTGAAAACCAAATTACATAAGCTCCAATAGTTGTCAAATTTCCTCTTCATCAATGAAACAAATGGATAACTGCTCTTTTCCAATTGAAGAAATTTCTTGTATATGTTACAGAGCTTGGGAAAATACAAATTTGCAGTAGGGGATTGAATTCCTTCAAAACTGCTTAAAATGTCATAAAAGACTTTCAAACAACTGTGCAGAGCTATTGCCTTATCCCATTCCTCCATTGACGGGTTTACTCTGAAACTGCCATCAATTTGCTCCATTTGACAAAATATTTCTCTTAATTCCAAAGCACTCTCAAGTATGCCAAAGTCTGAATCCAGCCCTAAAGGAAGATCATCCCTTGATTTCCCTCCTTGTAGCTTCACTTGATTTACTGCTTCTTGAAATTTCAGTTTTGCATGTGCTGTTTCACTAATATATTCAATTGATTTCCTCATTTTCAAAACTATATCATCTATCTCATGCAATCCATCCTGAATAAGAGTGCAACTGATGAAACAATGAATGGAAAGAAGTGAGCCTGGGTCACTAAGACAAGCTTCTTTTATCTGTTGAACTAGATCATCATTCAAAGAAGAATTATCCACAGTTATGGAACATACTTTCTTGCTCATATTCCACTCCAAAATTGAGCTTCGAATAATTCCAATTAAAGTCCCTGTGTCGTAGCTATGCTCCAAAATTTTGAAGGCAATTATCTTCGCCTTTAATTCCCAACCATCATCAATAAAATGTGCTATCAAACAACAATATGCAATCTTTCTAGGATTGTCCTTCCACATCCTAATTGTCAAACTGAAGTTACAAGCAATCTGATCAAGATATTGCTGAAGTTTCTCCTTCTCTTCCTCATGGACGTGATGTATATCAGATAAAATAATTGCTTGCGATTGAAATTCAAACATTGGCTGCAAATTTTTTGCAAAATTTTTGAAAAATTCTAGTTCAGCCATATCCAATGGAAATTGATGCTTAATAATCATTTTTACCAAATCCAAGCGACTCCTTTCTTGATCAAAGGTTGAGTTTCTTTCATTGATATCTTGAGTTGCAGAATCACCTGTTTCAGCTGGAAATTTCAACTGCCTTTCCTGATATTCACTTTTCTTAACTGGACATCTTTCCAAATGATTTTTCAAGTGTGTGGTTCCACTCTTGCTTGACCCTGTAAACTCCTTCTTACAATGATTACATTTGGCCCATTGTTTTCCATTTTCTTCGTACTTAATGAAATCTTTCCAAACTTCAGATCTTCTCTGTTTGGTTCGTGGGATTGCAGAGACCTTGTTTACTTTCAAAATCTTATTATCACCATTGGAAATAATCTGAGAAATGCAATTCTTTTCTCTGATTTCCTTTCAAACAGTAGACAAATTAAAAATAAATTAAGTGTAAAACTTAAAATCGAACTACCAATACATAACAAAGCTGTCAGATAACTCTTGGCCAATTAAAATCCAAAGTCATTTGCATACAAATTAAAACTTCAAAGCACATTACAATCTTTTGGACAATTGAGCGTCAACCACTAAATTATCTACAGTTATGCATACATTGATCAAATGTTCGCATCTCTCCAACTTATAACCCTTTTTCTTTTAAGAGAAAGAGGAAGAGGACGAAGAGCAACTAATTGAACTCCTACTTTTAAAGCTTTTTTCTTTTTCTTTTTTTTTTAATACTTTAGGTTCTCAGGATTTGAACTCTCATCACTAGATCTAAGAGTTCAGTACTCTACCAACAGACCCTTAATATGCTTAAAACAACATTCTTATGGAGAAATTAAGAGTACTCAATTCACTTGTCACATAGAATATAGTGATTAAGGAACAACATATTACCTGTTTCCAAGGCCCTTGTGTTTCCAGTACTGCATCATAACCCACTGGCATGGAAGCATTAAAGGGACATATTCCACCTAGTGATGAAGCATGGATAGATACTGATGAAAAGCCTATTGTAGCCATACCCACTTGGTCGGAACATGAAACCATTGCCCCCTTAAAACAAATGTTGTTGTAATTAGACTTGCCGTGAACGCAGCACATTTGCGACCTTGGAATAAGATAGTGTAAATACAATTAAGATGGGTACCTCCTCATTAAACCCTTGTCTTTGCAGTTCAACATGACCATCCCTTGGTTCAAATGTATTCAAAGGCCTTGTTATGTTTGAGTTTAGAAAATCATTGATAGATGAAGCTGGTGGAGGGCTTCGCATAGACATTGTCACCTGTGGAATGTTTGAAGTGGCTTCTTCTTGGAAACCAACTTCAGTTCCTTGAACTCTTAGTGTTACAAACATTTTCTTCTTATTTTTCAAGTCATTGAAAATATGAAGTGCCACGGATTCTGGTTTCTCAAGTTTTCCCTTGGATAGAGGCAAGAAGAATTCTACTACATAAACATCATTGTAATGGTTTTGTAGACAGATTGCAAGAGCAGCATGAGGGCCAAATTCACGTGCAACAAAAGGAAGTTGATAGTCACGTTTCTCAGGCTTAACAATACTTGATTCAAAAAGGAAGGGCTCATTTGATTGAAGTGCTTTTCCAACAATAGCTTGCCCTTCTAGAAGATGATTTTGTTTTGCATATGTTTCCATGAACCATCGAGAATTCAAATTATTCGCATAAGAATAAGTACTTTCAATGTATAAAATGTCTTTCTTGTATGGATATGAGATAGTTCCATCTAGGTTTTGCTTCACATTAGTCCCACAAGCCCATGTTAAAGCCAATGAAAGTTTGTATTTCAAACATACATCTTCTAACATGTCATATATCTCGACAAAAACAGCTAACCGATTTAATGAAGAAACCTGTTAATTAAATATTAGATAATAATGAATTATATTAAAAAAAATCCAAAATAATACTTGAAAAAAGAAAAGCATAATCCATCCTCACATTAACACTTTTTGACCTTGTAGCAAATTTTATTATATTTTAATGATGATTAACAGGATAAATAAATTTGAAATATTTTTGAAAGGTCCATGAAAATTTTGAAATTTAAAAGTCATAGATAAATTTAATATATAATTTATATTTGATATATTATGAATATATAAATTTTACATATTGTCAATGAATCAGATGTATCGTTTAATATTGTTGTGTGTTTTATTTTTTGTGTTTTTGACAATTTTTTTTGTTTTATTTTCGTTTTATTTTTTTTATATATTGAATTTGAAAAGATTTTTGAATAGAAATTTTTGTGGTAGAAATATGAAAATAAAAACATATAAGTGAAAGTGATTAAAAATTTTAAATTGTAAGAGGGAAGAAGTTCGATTTTGGCCAAAAACAAAATTTTTAAATTGTAGCAGTACTGTAACCAAGCAGGTGAATAGTGCCGATGCTGTAACAGTACCAAAAATATTTCTAAAATTTTGAAAACACCATTTTTTTTGTTTTCAACAAATTTCCAAACTTTCCAAAATTTTGTTTTTAGTTTTCAAAAACAGAAAACAAACACAACCTATTGTTTTCAATTTCCATAAAACTAAAAGTGAAAATAGAAAATAACAAAAATGAAAAAGTTGCCAAACAACAAAAATATAGACATTTAATTTTTTTCTATGCCTTTGATAATGCCTTTTAAAATCTAAACTTTTTCAACCAAAAAGTGTTGAATAAAATAAATAGATAAAAACCTACTTATCACTTAATTCAGAAAACTTTCAATAAATCTTCTTTTTATTTTTTAAAATTCTTGTAAGGTAATGTTTAGGAGTCTTGGGAAAGAAAACTAAAAAGTTAATATTATCCATAATCTTTAAATTATAATAAATATTTAATGTAATAGTTAAATTTAAAAAATATATAATGTGATACTTAAATTATAAATCAGTTAATTAATGTAATAGTTGACAAACAATCTTTCTAGTAACATATTACTTAATAAATTTATAATTTAAATATCATATTATAAAATTTTAAAATTTAAATATCATATTTAACATTTCACTTTAATTTAAGGATTATTTAAGATATTATTCTAAAATTAAAAAAAAGATAGTACCTCGTGTAAAGGCTGTAATGGTTGTACCATATCCTCTAATGTAGAAAATGTATTGAAACCTATATTCATAAAAATGTTATCATCAGATAAAATAATCATAAATCCAAACAACAATAGAGTAACGAAAGACTTATGATTCAAACAACATTTTCTTCAATTGACGTTAGAACAATGCTAGATAAATATTAGTGATGAAAAAAAGAGAAAGAAAATAAAAATAGAAAATAAACTTCACGTTCAATTTTTTTAAAGAAAAAGAAAATCTTTAGTGTCGTTTCTTTTTTAATTAAATTTTAAAACATGAATAACTTAACATAATTTGTAATATTATATATATATATATTTTATATGAATTTATAATATTATATATATTTATTTTTATATGATATAAATTACCTAATATATAAATATAAATATAAATATAAAATAATATATATTATATAATTGAAAAAACTAATTTAATTAGATCAGATTGAGTCTGAATGTTGGAGTCAAATCCAATATTGTTTTTAAACAAGTCACATTTTTTGTCCAAACCTATGTTTCAGGTTTTATATTTTTGCTCAACTGCTCTCAAACATTGGATGTATTTTTGGATTTAAATGAGTAGTTGGATCTTTCAACAGGGCTAGTTCTAAGATTGATGGCAAATTTTGATCAACAACATAAATAATGATAAATTTCATCTTTAATCCTAAAGTTACCTTGGCCAATGTTATAGCTGGATAGATTGAAGTGGTCCTCCCAATGTGTGAGTTTCCAAGCCGATACGAAAAACTTTGGCAGGTAATCCTTATTTGAAACCCAACACCCATTTTCCTCATGGAATTCAGGGGAAAGTAGCGACGGCTCCCCCTCGAGTGGAACAGGAAGAAAGCCATACCTTAGCAAGCGGGATCGCCACTGAGCCAAAGTCTCATGTCGCACAATTCGGTCCTTGCCTTCACATCCCAGTATGTTTCTTATCTGTCGCCTATAATCATTCTCCATTTCCTGGAATGAATCTGGTGCGACACGTAAAGCATGAGAGTAATATTGAAAAGAGTCTTCCAACCGTTTGATGAAATTGGAGTCATTGTTATTAGCATCCTGCTCTATTATCATCACAATCTCTGGGTTTATCTGCCTCAACTTTAACGACTCTCTCTCCATTGCTCCCGCATCCGCCAGTAACATTTGGAGTTTATGACTATACAAAACGACCACGGCCTCATCTTCTGATCTTCTAAAATCTAACATGGACGCATCCACTTCACCCAAGCTATTGGCGTAAACCACTTTCAAGTCATCCTCCAACTCAACATCACAATCCTTAGCACAAGAAAGGACATACTGCTTTTCTTCTTGTATATTTACACTTCTTTTCAAAAATGGTGGTAATATGACACTTACACGGACTGACGGGGGATCGGCGTAACAATTGTTTAGTTTCCCAAACAAGCTTCTCCATTGATGTAGACTTGGGATTTTGAAGTCAATGACATGCAATCGCTTCTTTTTCGTTACAACAGTCTTGATCGCATCGCCGATAAGGTAAGTACAATAAACTGGAAGACACTGCAAATTATAAGGAATGGTAGGATGAAGTCCGTAAGCTCGGCGAACTAGAGCTTCTGCAAAGAATTTCACCACTTTGCTTTGTTGTTCATCGGATTCCTTTGCAGCAAGATTCAAGATCAGCTCTAAGTGTGAATCGGCCAGTTTCAGATTCCCATCTTGAATAGCTTGAGCGCAGGCTAATAAGGCCTGTAAGGCGGAAGAGGCCATCACTGTAACGCAAATACTAGAAATTTGATTGAATGCAAACTAAATGATAATATAACACTGTTTCAGAGAACTGGTCCCTCTCCTCCCCCTCTCACTGTCTTAAGTAGCGATGGGGCATCTGGTAAAGAAAGTGGATTCTGTCCTTAGAGCTGAAGCTTTTGCTTTAAGGCTGCAGCAGATGTAGCAAAACGGGGAAAACTGGAAGAAGCAATCTTTGAAGTTGATTCTGAAGAATTGTACGCAGCTTCCACGAAGCTTGAAAGAAAAGACAGGACATGTACCAATTCTACAGAATTTAAAGGATACTCAAATACAGACTTAAATTCGAGCAAATGACTTTTGGTGCTACTATCAGCCAATAAGCCATGTACACAAACTGGGGAAAGTGCCCTGAAGTTGGATTCCACTATCCCCTCATTGGTCCACATTTTGGACAAGGATGGGAGTATCTGGGTCAAAGTAGACGGCTTTGAAGACTTTGAGAACATGGCACGTCTTTTTAGCATCTTTGGCTGTTACTTTTGATTTTTTTTCTTAATTTCGGCCAGTGTTATTTTTGATGTTTGATGGGCTAAGAAAAATAGCAAAGCAAAGCAAATGTACAACTTAGTGACAGAGAAAGAATTTGTTCGAAAAGTGTTTTCGCCCTTTTGGTCAAAACCATGTTCTTTCCTACAATGAACTTTAAAATTTACTTTCAAACCTAGATTATACGTTATCAATTATAGATTTATGAACCTAAAAAAGAAAAAAAATTGGTGGCTAGGTTCTAAAAAGTCATTAATTTACACCAAAACTTTCAAGTGATGCTTTTGAAACGCGATAGAGTATAATGAAATGATACAAAAATGGATACAATAAAAAAGATATTTTTCATATCAAATAATTAATTTTTTTATCAAAGTAAATGAATGAATGACAAAAAAAAATGGAGGTAATTTATTTTATATGGATTGAAAGTAACATCCATATGTATGAATTGAAGTGATGAACTACTACAAATATATTTCATTATATTTAAGAGAATATAATTTGACTTAAATTGATGTTATTAAGAAAATAAGCTTATGTCAACACATGAATATTTATAGTTTGTTAGATATATATATATATATAGTCGATGTCCATTCATCTTGATATATAATTAATTAATGTTTATATAATTTTTTAGTAATAGGTTTTTTTTTCTAAATAATAAAATTGCCATTTATTAAAAAAAAATGGAGGTTTTATCATTGATTCTCGTAAAAACATTAAATTTGATACTATAATTATTGAATGTGACCCTTAATTTGTAAAAAGATTTGTAATATTGTACTCTTCAGCTTAAAGATCTATCTTGTATTTCTATTGTTATAAACAAAGTCTTTATATTTACTTTTGTTTTTTGTTATTATTTCTTGTTTTAAAGCTCATACCGTGAATTTTATGATTATTTGTTGGTATTTGTTGGCTTTGTATGCCTTGTTGTTGACTAGATTTTGATAACTCATACAGAATCACTCCGGTCTTAAGCACCATAAACATATAATCAACTTCAAAAAATAATTATATTTGTAAAGATCAAGTTTATAATCATAGTTTGCATGTAGATTTTAAGTTTGAATCTAATAATATATCTATAAGTAAAGCTGTAAATGGTTTGGTTGACATTTCTTCTTATTCTTTCTCTAAATTATTTATAAAAATAAATAATATAGAAGATAAATTAGATTTGCTTGCAGAAAAGATGGACCAAAGATATGTTCCTCCATATATATCTACAGACTTTGGACTTCTTTACTATAATAATATTATGATAGCTGATGACAATCCTTCATCTTCTTTAGCAAAGGCAAAACAAGAAAAACTTGATTTTTATTCGTATAAGTACTTAATTGAAAATTTAAAGTATAAAATAGAAAAAATTGAAGATCCAAAACAACGGGTCGATTATCTTCAAGCTATTAAAACCCTTTTATGAATGACTTTTTCAAAAATATAATTATTATTACATGCTTAACTATGACACAACTAGTGTTAGTAGTGAAACAGCAGATAATGATATAGTAGATGATAATTTTGAAATTTTTGCCACTAACTCAGTAGTAAAAAATGAGCCAATTTCATCAGATGAAACCACATCAGATGATACTTCTAGTTCTGAAAATCAACAAGATCCAAAACCTCAAATTTCTTTTAAACTAAAAGATAGAGGCCATGATCTATACCAAACAAGATATAGATTAATTTGAGATTCAGATATCAGAACTATTGGACAAAGGCTTGATAGAACTAACTACCAGTCCATATTTTAGTCCAACATTCATGGTAAGAAACCATTCAGAGATCAAACGAGGTAAACCCTGTATGGTTATCAATTATAAAAAATTAAATCAAAATCTTGTATTTGATGGCTATTTTATTCCTCGTAAATATGTGTTGATAAATTTTACAAAAAATGCTAAATATTTTTCTAAATTTGATTGTAAGTCTGGATTTTGGCAAATTATGCTTAAACCTGAATCTAAATTATTAACTGCTTTTAGCGCACCAACAGGCCATTACCAATAGACTATTGTGCCATTTGGTATATGCAATGCACCTCAAATCTTTTAGCGTTGGATGGTATATTCAGTAAACACAAACAGTTTTACTGTATATATATTTATGATATATTTATTTTTTTCAAAGACATTAGATGAGCACAGGAAACAGATGAATATTATTGTTCAAGAATTTATATTGCATGGTATTATTTTGAGTTTCAAAAAGGTTGAACTCGAAAAAACTAAGATAGAATTTCTTGGTCTCAACTTATCTGCTAATGGATTAACATTGCAAGATCATATCATCTCGAAAATCAAGGAATTTTCAAAAAAACTAGATAATATCAAATAACTTTAATAATTTCTAAGTATTGTTAATTATGACAGATAATTTTTCAAAAACTTTTCTAAAAAGAAAAGCCTTTTTTTACGTAAATTACGTAAAAATAATTATTTTACCTAGACAACAACAGACTTTGATATTATTAAACAAATCAAATCAGAGCTAACATATATTCTTAAAGTTTATCTGCCTAAATAGGGAGATTTACTGATATTAGAGACAGATGTCAGTGAAGAACATTGGAGATGTGTTTTTAAAATAAAAAATCTTCATAGAAAAGATGAATTGATTTGTGGATATAATTCAAAAAAATTTAAATCAAATGAAATAAATTATATTATCTATGAAAAAAAATTATGTACGACGATTTCATATCTATTTAGCTCCTGAGATCTTTGTTATCAGAACAGATAACCAAGCAATACGAGACTTCTTCAAAATAAGAAAACTCTTTGAAAATCTCAAAAGAATTATGTGGTATAATTTTTTTTATCAATACAACTTTCAAGTAGAATTCATCAATGGAGACAAAAACTTTCTTGCAGATTACCTGAGCCGACCATATAGATCGAGAAAAATAACATATCCTTAATCCAAGAAAATGGAGAACCATAAAGAAGACAACTGGTAAAAAATCATTTATTTTTTCTTTTTTTTCTACTCTTTTTTCTCCCAGATCACCAGCCTATTGTCATAATCCTAACCTAGGATTATTTCTATTTCTAACTGGAAACCCTTCAGTAAGGCCTACCTTTAGACATCCATTTATGATTCCAAGAATTCAACTAGAATTCTTTCAGTTTGTTCAAGATCCAAACAAATGAACTCCTATAGGTTATTTTGAAATAGTTTCTTCTGTAGAATAATTGCTGAGAGAAACAAAAATCAAATCAGATATAAAAGATTTTTATAACCTCGGACTTGAACCATGAGTTTATGATTTACTAAACCATATTTGGATATCCCATCTCTCAGAAAATAAATCTAGTTTTCGAAAAAAGATGATCGAATTAGCTAAATTTCTAGTTAAACAAATTGATGAAATTCAAAAATTTAAAGAAACAGCTTTCCAAACAAATGAACTTCTATGAGTTATTCTGAAATAGTTTCTTCTGCAGAACAATTGCCGAGAGAAACAAAAATCAAATCAAATATAAAAGATTTGTATAACCTCGGACTTGAACCACGAGTCTATAATCTACTAAACCATATTTGGATATCCCATCTCTCAGAAAATAAATCTAGTTTCCGAAAAGAGATGACCAAATTAGCTAAATTTCTAGTCAAACAGATTGATGAAATTCAAAAATTTAAAGAAATAGCTTTCCAAAGCCTTTTTTCCACTAACCTGTTAAAATAATGGGATATTAATTTCTTTGCTTTGGAAGAAAACCAATATAATGTTCAAGAAATAAATAATTTCTTGAATTTTTGTGAATATTTTGAGAATTATAATTCTCCACAGGTAAACAAGCTTAAGAGAATTTTTTTGTTTGAAAAAGCTGCAGTCTTTTTAACCAAGAAACTGTTTCAACAAATAAATTCTTCTATTACTTAGACAATAGAAAAATTGTTGATTGAAAAATTCTCAGAACATTATTTTTCTACTTACATCTTTATTGCAGAAATTGGCGAGTCTATTCTAAAAATCAAATCATGCTTTAACTATGAGCCTTTTGATATAACCAGTATTGAATTGAGTATGGTTGGCCAAATCTTGGTCCAAAACTTTTTCTTTGACCTCATTAAAGATTTTTCAGCCTTTATTAAGCATCAATTTTACCAAACCGTAAAATATGTTAAACATTTCTATTATATATATTTACCATAACTAGTCTTCTTGGAGTCTTTCAAAGAGAAAGATTTTATCAACCTTACCAAATATGAAAAATTGAACAAGTATTGGCAGGACAATTCCTTAACCTTCCTATTAATGCTCAAAACCACCCTAATGATTTAAACAAAATCATAGCTAAATACACCAACCCTTCACAGTTCCAATTCCAAACTGAAATCTCCATAATAGAAAAAACAAAACACTTATTTTATTTGGCTACCACTACAGAGTTTCCTAGAATATTTACAAAACCTCATGGACGTAGAGTAGTAGTAAGATACTATTATTCTCACCATGAAGATCTAGAAATTGAAAGTGAACCAAAGGCAATCCAACTCTTAGATAAACTTTAAAAAATGGAAGACATTGATCATCGTATAGAAATGCTATATAGTATCAAGAAGGGTGACAAATGTGGAATAAATCCAGAACTAATTCTTCTCAGTCTTTTAATTCAGAAGATGAAGAATTGCATAACCTGGCCAATGCAATAGAAGGATAACTCTAATCCAAAATATCATGTAAACATTTCAACTAAGAATAAGCTGATCCAAGTTGTTGATACTACAAAACAAAGCTGTTCAGAGCCCGAGACCAGCAGTCATTATTTCTGACAAAAAGTTTTATAGCAGTCACTATAGCAGACATTCGTTTTAGAAGATAGAGACCTGTTACCGAAAGTACTATAGCAAGTCACTATAACAGCTACTGTAGATAAAAATCTATTGTACACTATAACGACAATTGTAGCTAGTCACTGTTTATATTTTATTTATAAATAAGATGTATTAATCTTAGCTTGAAGAGGCTCTTTGGTCATTCTTATCTTACTCTTATCTGACCTTCTTCTTCTTTTCAAACCATCATCCAACCTTTGTAAATTAACTTAAGTATTTTCTTTGTAAACCTTTATACATAGATCTTTTTCGCACTCCTTGTAAATGTTTTCTATATGCTGTTTAAACCAGGGTTAGAATTTTTTAAACCAACTTGTTTTGTAAATCTAATCTGGTTTGATAAGTTGTAATTCTTTGATTTTTCTTCAAAAATATGATGAGTTTTTTGCATCACATTTTTTAGTTTAACCATACATTCTCCTACTGTAGTTGTTGTACCTGTAAAAAGAAGTAACTGAAATATTATCTTAGTTAGATTCTGTATTCATCATAAAAATATATTCAGATTCATCATCAGAAGAACTATAATCAGTTTCAGAAAATACTTTATAAAATATTTCATCATCTGATAATTCATCTGTAAAAAAATATGAAGATAACATTTTTCAAGTTTTTTAATAATTTTTCAAGCACTTTTTAGCTATCTACATAACGACCTTCTTGATCATAGATAAAACATTTGTAAGTTTGTTTAGAAAAGTTTTTCTTCTTTTTGACAACAAATTTACCTTTTTTAGGCTTCGTAGATCTGTCAATTTTTTCTGGTTTCCATTTTTTCCAAAAATATTTTTGTTTTTTCTTAAAATGAGTTTTTCTACGAATAGGTTATTTGTTACAATCAAATTCTAAATCATTTTCTAAAATCTTAGTACACTATTTGTAACTAAGTTTAAATTTTACCATTTAGCAACCTTTTGCTTGAGGGCAGTGTTCTGTAACCTGACTCTTTACGTAGTGTATTCTACAGTCAAGAGTATCATAGAGTTTTATGTTGGGATTTGCAGCATTAGAAGATTTGATTTTTATTTCTAAATAATTATTATAGTTTTGAAAACAAAACTCATCCCACGGTGAGGGAAGTTTAAGGAAAAATTGTTGCAGCCATTGTTAATCCATTAGCAGATAAATTGAGACCAAGAAATTCTATCTCAGTTTTTTCGAGTTCAACCTTTTTGAGACTCAAAATAATACAATGCAATATAAATTCTTGAGCAATAATATTTAGGTGTTTCATGTGCTCTTCTAATGTATTTGAAAAAATAAGTATATCATCAATATATATAGCAAAACTATTTGTGTTTACTGAATATGGTGTCCATCCAACGCTAAAAGATTTGAAGTGATTGCATAGACCAAATGGCATAACAGTCCATTGGTAATGGCCTGTTGGTGTGCTAAAAATAGTTAATAATTTAGATTTAGTTTTAAGCATGATTTGTCAAATTTCAGACTTACAATCAAATTTAGAAAAATATTTAGCATTTTTTGCTAAATTTATCAACACATTTTTACGAGGAATAAAATAGCCTTCAAATACAATATTTTGATTCAATTTTTTATAATTGATAACCATATGGGGTTTACCTCTTTTGATCTCTAAATGGTTTCTTACCATGAATGCTATACTAGAATGTGCACTGGTAGTTGGTTTTATAAAGCCTTTGTCCAACAGTTTTGAGATCTGAATCTCAAATTCATTTATATCCTGTTTGGTATAGATGATGGGCTTTACTTTTATAATCTCTTTTAGAGTGTAAAGAGTGAGCTCACAATATCTTGGACTTCTTTGTCAAAGCTTCAATGGTTGTTCACTGAAGTTTTCTTGCAATATCTAATAAAGCCAATGTGTTTCATTGATTGCTTTTATAGTATTTGATAATCTTGCAGGTTGAAAGTTTTTATCACAAATATGCTTATGTTCTTGTAATAAAGGAATTTCAATTGATTTTTTATCAATTGTAAGCCTAACGTGAGTATTAGAGATAGAAAATGGAACATAAGTACGTATAAAATTATTTCATAATAGTATGTCTCCATGCATATTAGGAAAACATAATATTTTTGGTATTATAAATTAAGATAAATAGGAATATCTAACATTAGAATGTGAGTAATCTTAGGCCTTTGAGCACTACTCGCCTTAGTGTAATTTTTCTTTAGTTGGAAAAACTTGTTAATTTCAAGCTTCTGTAATTTGGAAAGCATATGTATAGCTTCCATAGATGACAAATGCATCAAATTGTTACAATTTCAAATTTAAAGTCATTGAAGAGAGGTGACATTTTCGAATTATTCCGGAAACGCTTCTACTCCATTAAAGCACATTTCAAAAGCCTTTGAGGGAAGCAAAGTGTTGAAGCTGATATTATAGAGATTTTAGATTTTTTCATCCATATAATTTCAAATATTCGAGGGATATATACAGAGATGATTGATTAAGATATGAGAACTCTTGCAATATACAATGTATTCATCCTGACGAGGCAACCTAAGATTTCTCTTGAAAAGCGAGTTAACTTCTTATAAGATGTTATCCATAAAAATATAAGAGAATACAATTCTCTTAGACTTTTATGAAGCATAGTTAATTGCAAATTAAAATTTATTTTTAAAATGTTTATTTATAATATATGTATAAATTATATATAATAAATTAATTTTATTAATGAAAAGGTAAAAATTTAGAGGGTTTAATGAAAAAAAATTTTCTTTAAAATTTTTTTTAATAGGTGTTCATAAATACCATAGTAATAAACAATTATCCTCTAAAGAATAGGAAACTCGTAGTGCCTGAAGAAATGAAAGATTTCTCCGAATTGGAGCACTTTTTGACACGTGATAGCCCGAAATAATCAACTCCTCGAGGCAAGGAACACGCAACCACACCTTCTCTTTCTATCTTAGCTGGATATACCTTATCTGTTGCCAACGACGTTTGATTTTGAGGGCTAATTAAAAATTTAAAATTATATATATTTTTGTTCGAATTATATTATTATATTTTATTAATATAAAATATATATATATGTAAATAATATATTAAAAAATAGCAAAGTTATAAAATTTAAAATTTATTAATTCAAAACAAAATATAAGAAAATAAATATGGAAAATAAATAATTTAATTTAAAATTATAAGCAATATCATTTTTTTAAAAATAAAATATTTAACAATTGAAATTGAATTAAATCTTTTTTTTTACGTTAACAACTACGTTATTTACAAAATAATTTACTTTTCATCTTATTTTATAATTTTATTTTGATGATTTTTATAACTTAAAGTGTTGGCTCAGCTCACCAGTTGTTATAAATACTAAAAGATTAAAATAAAATTTGTCAATATATTAATGAGATAATATATTTTATTATTATTTTTGGTCAAAACAACACATAATTGTTATAAATAAGATAAATTTTGATATTTTACATCATTAGGCATATTACGTTAAAAATGTTTTAATTGGAATTTCAAATTTAATTTTTCTTACACAAACTAAAATTTAAAAAGTTAAATTAGAATTTTTTTAAATTCACAAAAATTATGATTAATATTTGTTATAAATCAATTTAAGTGTTTATATTAATAGATAAAATAAATAAATAGATATTAATTTAATTTTTTAATTAAAAACATTATAATTTAAATTTATTTAATACAAATATATATATATATTCATATATAAATAATAAAGAATTTTTTAAAAATCTTGAAATCTTGACCTTAAATCTATTATTTAAAAAATTTAAAACAGGTGACACGAAACAAATAACGCGAAAAAATTTGAAAAAGGGATTAAACATAAAGGGTGTCAAAACAAAATGTTTTGTAAAATATTTTTATTTTCCTACTATTATACTCTTATTTTATCCTTAATTTCGATATTTTTAACATAATAAATTAATAAAATAATAAAGGTAAATTAACATCTTAACGAAATATTCCGAACGTCACAGAGACAAAAGCAAACTGAAACTGAGAGATGGGGATTTCACAATCAGCATCAAAGCGGGTGGCTACCACGTTAACCAACTCGTCTGAGTTCAACTCAGCATGCGACTCAGCCTACACCCACTGCCTCTCCCTAACGGAGCAAGCTTTCCCTGGAGTCCTTCCTTACCAGCTCTTTACAGCCGCCACCCACCTCCACCAAACCCTCACTTCCCTCCATCCCCACCCTCTCATCCTCCGCTGGGTCCCTGATCCTCCCACTCGCTCCCAAGTCGACTCAGCCTTACGAGTCATAACTAGCCATCAACGTAATCCCCGGAACGATGAAGAACAGCTGGTCCTCGGCGCGACCCAGTTCAGGGAATGGGCAGTGGTGTTATTCGCCGATGCCGTGGTGGGAAACGCCGGCAAGGCAGTTTTGAAACGAGTGCCGGTTGGGGTTCTGGGTATTGTGGGGATTGGAGCGGCGGCGAGGTCTGGAAAGGAGGTTGTTGGGGCCGCAATTGGGGTGTACGCCCTTGGTGTCGCTACTTCAATTTACCTTAGCTTGTCTGGTTAGTTACCTACATTTGGGATTTTTCTCTTAACTATTTTGTATAAAATGGAAGAAAGTTGATGCCATATTTTGTATTGTGTGCTATAGATTCTGTGTTGTCAATTGCGGCCTCTTTTGTAAGAGAAGCATAATGGTAGAGTTTAGCTGTAGATCATGAGATTAAATGGACAAGTAGGATCAACTTAGACAAACCTTAACATAATATGACACATAAATATTACATTCAGTAGAAAATATCAATTAACAAACTCACATATGGTACTATTTGAACCTGATATTTTAAGGTTCGAGGACTACAGAGACAAAAACATAAAGTAAATAGTAAATAACTCATTCTATGGAATAATTGCTCTTATGACTGTTAATCAACTTGTGCTGCTTCAATTTCCATGTCCTTGCTTAATCCCTCATTTTCAATGGGTGATCGTATCCTATTGGACTCCATTGGGCAGGATGATTTAATTGTGCCTAAGAAGGCAAGTCGGTATACACAATCTTAGTGGATAATTTGCTTCTTTCTTTAGGGTAGGGAATTCCTGGTCTCAGCATCTTGTTCATGGGTGCTAGATTGATTTTGAAGAACATTACAGTTATCAGGTGTTTCTAACAATGTTGACAGGTCCTGTCATAGGCAACCATATGTTAGTTTCCATTGTTTATTGTTATCTGTATGGATAAATAATCAGCAAGTTTCACGCAGCTGTTAACATTGGATAGAAATTATCTGCATCATCATTTTCGAAACTAGCTGGCAAGTTTGAGCTCTCATTCTCAGCAACTATGTTATGTTGATTGCTTCCTTCTTCGGGGTAGGTATTGTTGTTGTCGACAACATTTAAATTCTGGGTGGGATTACCATTTTCACTGGTGCTAAATTGATTTTTAACCACAGCACTACCATTTAGTGATTCCAGCTCTGTTATTAGCAACACACTGGTGTCTACCCAGTCCTGAATGATAGATACATGAACCTTAGTTTCTGGCCTTGTTTTTTTTAACACTTGCATTAGTAAATGATTAGAAAATTTCCTTTAAGGTATCTTACTCTTGAAATTGCATCGACTGCAGCATACTTTCCCAAATTTGAGGTTAGGTTGGAGACTTCATTCATATCAACAAAATTATGTTGATTGCTTCTTCCATGAGGGTAGGTCTCATCATTCTGAGCATCATTAACTTGTTCAATGATGCTAGACTGATTTTGTACTCCACCAGAGTCATTAGACACTTCCACCTCCGTTAATGGTTTATTGGAGTCCAATTGGTCCTGAATCATTGATAAATAGACATTAGTTTGGGACAAGCATCATAGAAAGTGATGAAAGAATTTTCTACAAGGCATCTAACATCAGGAGTTGTAGCTTCCTCTTCAACTTGATTTCTTAAGTTAGTAGGCCAATGGTGACATGATTGGCCTTTGTTGTTTGAAATGTTAGCTTCTTCTGATTGTTTCATTAATTTACCTAGAAACAATGTCTTCTGCACAAAACAACAAAGCTGTAGCATTATTTTGTACCTCTGTGCAGTGAAAGAGTCGATGCTGTCAAACTTTGAGGAATTCTGATGAAAGAGCTTGAAATAGTAAATAAATGTTATAATATAAGAACATGCCTGGTTAGGGGGAGTAGCAGTATTGAGTTGGTACTCATGCATGACCCAGGCAGCCTTGTTTCTCTTGTAGCTTCCATGCTTGGTCTTGTCTCTATTTTTTTCATGCTTGGTCTTGTTTTTATTGTTGTCGCATTTGGTCTTGCTTTTTTTCATGCTTTTGTCCTTAGGAGGACGACCTTTATGGAAAACTAAATACTTCTTGCCTGCCAATCTCTGCCTTGGTGTCACTAGCCATTACCTTATGATGCCTGCCTGTTGCCTTCCAGTATCCTTCCTTGGTGACTCTGTTGATCAGTTTACCATTGTGGTACTTGTAATTCAATGTGTAGATGAAATACCAAACCTTACAGCCTGGCTGCAGCACTGAAAGCCCTGGGAAACATGTTTACACACACTCTCACAAACACATGGGAATATACTGTGTCAATTAACAGACAAGTTTAATCACGATCCAAGTACTTACCAGGTAATTCCCAAGGCTCAAACTGCAGATGTCTTCGAGTTCAGTGATATATTGGACAAGAGAATCACGATCGCATAATATATCTTGTAGATATCCGATGAGTTCTTCATCTGATGGTCAGAATCCATATCCCCTTATATTGCTCATTTCATCAAAATCTATATCAACTAGAAAGAAGTGAAGAGTATTGAATTCAGTTTGATAGGGAGCAACAAGATCATATTTATCACACGGTGAAGGTGAGATTGCTTCCTTGCTACTTGGCTGTGTAAAATTCTTTGGTGAATCCCACTTACCGCGTCTGTTTGTTTCAATTTTCACCCTTCAAAGATTAATGAAAGCTTAGTCGGTTTTTTAAGCCTTTTCCCGGCAATTTCTTGTCCATGCGTTCAGATTCTGCCTAACCATATTCAAGCAGGGTGATAAAGGAAAATGCGTGTTTTTTTTTTTCTCTCCCTTTCAAGACGTTTAAAATGTTCTAAACCAATGGTTTAGGGACAGGATGGCTCAAATGGCGCCCTGAACACTTCAGTTTCTCAACTATTCATCATCAAATGATGTCAACATGGGGAGGGTGAATGGCATTTTCCCTTTCTTGAAGGGAAAGAAATTTCTAGCTTGGCACCGTCCAGGGGTCGAGGTGTTCTTGATTCTTCTCCTTTTTGACTTCCATTGTCCATTGGCCAGTCCCTTTCTGGCCTTTTATACAATTCTTTTTTGCTAGTTTGTTATGTTCCCCACTAAATCGACAGTGTCTTTATTCTTGCAAGGTATTTCAGAAATTCTAAATCAAGCAATTTGATTTATTTGGATTCTAGAGTCTTCTAACACTGGCACCCTATTCGTTGAGATTAGCAATAGTAAAGGGTCTTTTAGCAACATGGTGAAAGGATTTTCATTCCGTCACAACTACACTTTATTATTGAATCTTTAAGGGTTTAGTCATAAAACGACATCACCATTCGGTAAAAATCCGTCCGTAGCATTGCCTAAGTCTTTGATAACAGACATGCAACAATTAATTTAGTTCATAGGCATCACTCCTTAAAAGTTCGAAAAATTTGTTATGCTCATGATTTACTTGTACAAATGTGGTTAAAAGTGATGCTGCATATCTATTTACTTTTTTTTTTTGGAACAATTATTTAATTGTTATATTAATTTATTATTTTTAAAATATAATTTAAAGGAACATGCAATTACGTTCTAACAAAATTTGTAAATTTTAAAAATTTTAGGGTATAAAATAATAACCCTTTTTAAAAATTGAAAGGTTTAAAATTAGAACTTAAAAATTAATGCATTTACTCCATCTCTCCTTGGATAATCTACTCTCAGAGCATTACTCATTTGAATTCTGTGAACAGAGGTATTATATATATGAACAATCTTTTCTTATTTTTGAAAAGAGACAATTTTTGAATGCTATCAAAAAATGTTTTGAGACTGGGTTTAAAAGAGCTTATTTAATAATAGAAAATGTCAAGAAAACAGATCTCACAAGCAACACTTAACATTACACTCCATATATTACAGGAATCAAACTCAAGTCCATTTGCCACTAAAATCTTCTCTTCTTTGCCTGTGCTTGAGCTACTTCAGTTCCTATGTCAGTGCTCGATCCTTCATGCTCCATGCCTGATCCTTTCCTGAACGACTCCATTGGATGGGAAGATTCAGTCATCCCCAAGGAAGGCAAGTTGGAGCCCTCTATCTCAGCGGCTGCTGATTTGTTTCTTTCATCAGGGTAGGCAATTTCATTGCCAATCAAATTTGAATTCCTGAACTCATCAGCAACTTGCTGGTTAATACTAGATTGATTCTGAACCCCATCACAGTTGTTATCAGTTGCTTTCAACTCATGAAGGTATATCCCGTCCCAGTATAAATCATCAAAGTCAAACAAGTTCTAAATCATAGATAGACAAAACAAATATTAGTTTTCGATACACGTTTATACCATTCATATCGATAAATAATCCAAAAGTTTCTCACCATTTGACTTATATCAGCTATAGGATCGTTATAGAAATTTGAAGGCAAGTTGACGCCCTCATCCTCTGCAACTATATTATGTTGGTTGCTTCTTTCCTCAGGGTAGGTTTCATCATTATAAGTGAGAACATTTTGGAAGGAATGATCATGTTGAGTGGTATAAATTAGCTGATTTTGAGCCCCTTCTGGGTTTGTAATGGGCCGCATATAGTCTACCTGTGGATTCTGAAACATACACACACAAAAAAAAAAAAAACTCTAGGTTTGGCTGAGCAATTGGTTAATAAAATTTCCTGAAAAGTAGTATCCTTACTTGTGGAATTGCATAATCTGCAACATAGTATTCGAGATTAAATGGCTGCAGGTTGGAATTAACTTTATTCCCACCATTGACAAAGTCCTCTTGATTGTTTCTTTCTTCAGGATAAGTCTCGGAATAAACAACAGGAAATGAATTTACGAACTCATTAGTTTGTTCACTAATGCTTGATTGATTTTGAATCCAGTCATAGTCATTAGATACTTCCATCTCGACTAATGGCTCCTGATGAAAGTCTAGTTGGACCTGAAGCATATATGAACGGAAACTTGATTGTGAAGTGTTCCTCATCATTGACATGAAAAAATCATAGTAATAACCTTTTGCAGAAGAAATCTAACCTCCGGAGTCAGAATATGATCATTTCCTAAGTAATTAGAAGGCAACTGTTGATTTGTTTCACCTTTGCTACTTGAATTGTTGGTTGGCTCAGATTGTTTCATCATCAATTTACCAAGAAAATATTTATTCTACACAAAAAGTAATAGAGAAATAAAGTGTTCATTCATGTATATCCCCGAATTTAGTCGAATTGGTTCATAAATCATTGCTTTTAAGAGGTAAAATTAAGTAGATACACAGAATTCAAATCATAACACTTGCAACCAATACTTATCACAGTATCTTTTGTGCCAAAGAAACTAAACAAATGCTCCATAAAAGAAAAGAAAAACTATAGCAGGCTAGCAGCAGAAAAGAACTTACTTGGCTAGGATGAACATCAATGAGTTCGTACTGATATAACACCCATGGGGTCTTGTTTTGATAGCTAGTTTGGGCCTTAGTTTTGCTCTTTTTGTTTTTTTCATTATTAGTGCTATTTGTATAAAAATACAACCGTGTCTTGATACCAATCTCTACCTTGGAGTCATTAGCCTTAACTTTAATAAGCTCGCCTGAGACTTTCCACTTTCCTTGACAGGTAACTCTGTTGATCGGCTTTCGCTTACCGTCAGATTTGTTGTTTGGAATATTATTTGGATGCTTATGAGTTATTGGGTAGATGAAATACCAAACTGGATCATTTGATGTTACCGTAGTACATCCTATGGATTAAAAGTACATACATACACATGAACAAAATACGTACAAAGTAAAACATGAACAAAATATGTATACGCATACATACACATGAAAAAAAATACGTACCAGGTAAATCCCAGGGCTCCCACTTGCAAATGTCGACATCAAGAAGAGTAATATCTTGGACCAAGCAATCACGGCCGAGCAAAGTTCTGTTTCGTAGGTATCCGATGAGCTCTGCCTCCGATGGTCGGAATCCATAAGGACCAAAACCCTTGAAGTTGTTCATTCCCTGGGAATTTTTAGCAGAGACAAGAGAATCTAGCAACTCAAGGGGACTTTGCTTGTGTGAGAAATCTTGCTTTCTTGGAAGAGGAGAGGAGGCTACTGAGTGAGTGCTGAGGAGCGACGAATGAATGAATATGTAGAAAATTATAATGAAGCATATGACTCCTTCGGCCCTGCGTCGTTAGACTAAAGTTGTGGAACATGTTCTAGGTGGACCCCATAATCCGTGTCAGTAGTTTCCAATTTATTTATTTATTTTTTTAAGAATTTCGTTGTACTAACATCAAGAAGTGATTATAAAAAAAAAAAAATTCAAGAGAGTGATAAAACTAATGAAAAGTAAATCTAAATACACGTTATTTAAATTTAAATTTAAATTTAATTGATTTATATATTTATTTTAAATATTTTTATACTTAAATTATTATTATTATTTTTTTAAATCCAAATCATTTGGGTTTTTGTTTCCATTAGTTTTTTAAAAATTCATATCTATAAACAATAAAAAAATTTAAATTTTAAATTTTAAAACAATAATATATATAATTAATTTATTTTTTGGATACATTTGTTGTTGCAGTATAAGAATAAAAATATATATAAATATTAAATTTATTTTAAATTTATTAAATATTATATTTTAAAAATTATTATATAAATTAGTTAAGCTAAATTTTGAATTTTGAATTTATTTTAACATAAAACAATTATTTATAATTACATTTTAGCCGTGAAATTGGGCTTTTTTTATCATTTACTGTTACTTAAAGTAATTTTTGAATAATTTAAAATGCATTTAATTCTAATATCAACTAAGAATAATTCAAAATTGCTATTCTAATTTCAATCCCTCGAGATCCCTTCATTTCCTATTGATTCCTTTGTTAGCTTCTGCCCTTTTTTTTTTTTCTTTGGTATGATGTCCTTTATGTCCTTTTTAAATAATGTTAATTTTACTTGAAATTCCAGAATCTTCTATGACAGGGCATCCTATTGGTAGATTGCAATGATGCCTAATCTTTTTTGGTTTCTAGAATCTTCTATCGCATTTAAATATATAAAAAAAATCTATGAACAAAAATAAATTATCATTCAAATTCTTTTTATTTTATTATAATTAATTAAATTTTAAAATTTTGTATTTATTTATTAAAGCTTTGATCATACAAAAATTAATCATGTGAGTTGTAGTCGTTAATCAATTTTTACATTATTATTATTAATCAAATATGATTTAATTTTATCATTTGCTTACTCTCAAACGTTGTTATAAAGTAGGAAAAATAACAATTAAATTAAAAGAAAAAGGTGATCTTTTTTCTAATATAATTCGTGTCAGCTATTTTTATAGCGATTTTATTAGAACAACATTTAACGCAAGCGATAATCATAGATAGAGGTGTAAATGATATATTAATATTCGTAAACTACTCATGTTCGATTCGAATAAAATTCGAATTCGATTTAATTGTTATTGAGTTAAGCTTGAACTCAAGTAACTGAATTCATCGATCGAATCGAGTTATTCTTATATCCGACTCGAGTAGCTCACGAGTCTAATTGAACTTTTATATTTAAATATTTTTTATTATTTTAATTAATAAAATATCTCGAGTTCGAGTTCGAACATAAATAATCGAGCTTTTGTCGAGTATAAGAATCAAATTTATTTTTATATATTAATCGAGCTTAATCGAACGAGCTCGAGTAGTTTGATTTCGATCACAAATTGAACTTGAGTTAAGAAAATGAAACTCAATCAAATTCGAATCGAGTATCGAACTACGAGTTGAGAGTCGAGCTCAAATTTTTCACCGTATCGACTCGACTCGATTATACCCTTAGTCATAGACACACAATCTTCTATAATCAGTCATCACCATCTCATATGTGAAATCGCATTATTACCAATTTCAAATTTGAAATTTATAATTAGATGATTAGATTTGTTTAAGAATTAAGTTGCTTGTTCAATTTTATAGATCAATTTAAATTTTGAAAAGATATAAATAAAAAATTAAGGTTTATTAAATTAGTTTGAATATAGTTTTTAAATTTATTTAAATTTCAAATTTAATCTAAAAAAAACTTAAAACTCAAAATCGATCTTAATAAAATATATAAAATTAAAATATTATATAATTACATAAATATATACAAGTAAATTTTATTTTATATTTTATTTTTTAAAAGGGTTTTTTAAAATTTTTATTTATATAAAATAAATTTAATAAGTGGGATTGAGATTTTTTTTTTAATTGAGTTTAACTTAAAAAAAATTTTGAGATTCAAAATATCAGATTAAGTTAAACTTAAATAAATATATAAATTATTAATATGATCTTATTTCAATTTAATTCTATCAAATCAAAAATCAATTTAATCTGAACCTGACCATAAATACGTTTATAGTTGACTATAACAAAATATTAACCTCCTCATTTTATTGCAAATTCTCAATTTATTTAATTTTACCAACTCAAGAGTTTACTAACCCATAAGTCTTAACAACACTTAAATAGAAAGGAAAATTCCTAACAACGTATCAACTTACATAATAAATTTGGGTGTAAACTAAAAGTTAAGGGTTTATTTGATTATAAATTAAAAATTAAAAATTTATTTAAATGTAACAAAAATATAAAAACTTATCTAAGTTAAATTATAAAGTTCAAGAGTTTTTTTTTTATTATAAAAGTAAAAAGTTTTATATTTTTTTGACTATTATATCATAATTTAGAGAAATTATCATAATTGAGTTTTTAAATTTCATAAATGAAGTTAAAAATGTGACATATTTATCTTAAGATATATTTAAAAATATAAAAAATTAATTAAAAATAAAAATGAGACATAAGTCAATTTCTTAATAATATTAGATAATAGATCAAATACTAATTTCATAATTAATTTGAATAAAATAATATTTTAATTTTAATTTTTCATCGAAGTACATAAATCTTTATTGAACAAAAATTGTAAACTTTTATATTACATGTTTATTTTAAATTATATTTTGTTATAAGAAATTATATTGACATGTGCTTTCTTATCCTAAACCCAGGTCAAATTAAAATAAGTTTTTGTTTATATTAATTTTAATTTAATTTGATATTAAAATATTATTTTTTATATTTGAACTGAATATATATAAAATCATAACTAATTTGATTCTATATTAATTTAATAATTTTAATATAATATAATATATATAAAATATTATTTGTTAATATAAATTATTTCTGAATTATATATAAATATATTATTTTTATTAAGTTAATACATTAAATTATAATATTACATAATAATTTTATTAATATAATATATATTTAAATATAAAATAAATAATAAATAATAAATTTGTTTTATATATATATCAAACTGAGTTTACTTAAAATTCCCTCTGGATTTTTTTAAAAAATTATTCGACCTGATCCGAGGAAAAAATAAAAGGCCATATAAGATCAGAAGTGGATGGGATTGGTTATATTTGCCAACAAAATCCAAACCCAATAACAATTAAGCCCCAACTCACCTAAAGCAAAAACACATTGAAATGATAAACGGATAAAAAAAAAAAAAACTCAATATTGCACATCCATGGGAAGCAGCAGCTGGAGAAGGGGTGTGGGAAATGTGAGATCATTCATAGGAAATTCAATGGGAGGCCTAAGAGGAACAAGCAATCTGGCTTCTTGGGTTGTTGCTGGAACTCTCGCTTATTTCCTTTGGGTGAAACCCTCTCAGGATCTGAAGAAACAACAACAGGTTTCTTCCCAATTTCCCATCAAACTTATTTTCCTTTTTGTTGTTCAAAACGAAAGAATTCATTATTGATTTTGTAGGAAAAGGCAGCTCTTGCAACTTCAGATCCTTATCGCTATGTAGAGAAACGAAAACCAATTCCTGATCCCCAGGTGTTTGACTAAATGCTTTCCTTTTATCTGTGATTTTCTCTCAAATATGTATTTAAAAGTAATGATAATTTTCGGCTTTTCCTGTGAATGGCAGGAGACTGGATTGATATATGGCAAAAAGAAGAAAACTGATAGTAAAACAGAGGAATAATGTGTTACACTGCTACTTGTAAGTTTTGGTTTATGTAAGTTTCCAAAAGCTATGGGAATGGGAATGGGGAATGGGATGATAGTTATGTAATATATCCACTGTACCTTAGGCACTTTTAACATCCATTCCTTACCTTACTACAACTTGGAAATGTACCATTATCTGCAAAATTTCACTTGCAATAAGTCAATAAGAGTTTCTGAATACAACCACAGATTCTTCTCCACGGCCCTTTCTTTTGGGGGTGGGAGATTTGTGGTAGGGTGGTAAACCGGCAGGTTGATTCATTTCAAGTTCAGGACATTTCGGGTTTAGATAATTTTGAAGATCAGGTCAAGTTGAGCTGTTTGGGGTTGTGTTATTTAGAGTTCGGGTTAGGATGAAGTTGGTTTAACATTTATATATTTAGTATCAACTCTAGGTTATTATAAGTTTTGGTCACGCTGATCTTGGATTCGGATTTGTTCAAGCTCAAATCTATTATTTTTTGATCAATTTAAGTTTCATTGGGTTCGAATTCATATTTTTTTGAGTTCTGGTTCATTCTGCCACCTCTAATTCATTGTAGGAGGTTTGAGGTTAAGGGTTTCAACTTTCAATCATCAGCTGCATCTTATCTGATCTTCTCAATCTTTCTCATTGTCACAATGAATTCCTAAACTATAATAATTTGCATGCCTACATGCTTAATGCTTCCCATAGATTTAGAAAGTTACTTATACTGGATTGTTAGTTTGGTTATGCCAATAGGAATTGGTGTCATCTGCAATTATCTGTGCACTATGCATGTAGGTGAAAAACAAAGGTGCAAGACAGCTAGAAATGTTGTGGATCTCAAGGTTTGATTTGGAATGTTAGTTTTACTCAGCAACTATGTAAAAGTTTAACTCAGAAATGGTTAAATTTGAAAGAGAATAGTTAACAAATTCATGTATAGAGAAACTGGAATATACAACTGTGAATTAGAAAAACCATTCTTTGAGAGCTGATTGCAGGCCCTATTGATAATACCCTCTAAAAGTTGAATCATATCGATAAAGATTTGTTAATGTTAAATACAATAGTAACATAATTTAAAAATGATATGTAAATGATATAATTTGAAATTTTAATAAAAAAAAAAATAAATTTAATTAAAAAAATATTTTTTTTATAATTGATATATTGATAATATTTTAAATGTATTTAATATGAAATAATTGTGAAATAAGTATACTGATTAGGGATGGTAAATATATCTGAAATCATCAGGTTTTGACTTGATTCGATCTTATAAAATTAATTCTTTTTAAATCAAGTTTTGGATTGGTAGATTTAAAAAAAAAAAGTCAAAACTGGATTAGAGTCAGGTTTTAAGTGAATCGATTTTTATTTGACTCGATATATATATATATATATAGTATTTTTTATTATTTATTTAATTTTTATTTATATATGTATTATATAAATAAAATTATTACTTAATATTTTAATTTAAGATATTAATTTAATAAAAATATTATATTTATGTATAATTAAAATATAATATTATTTTAAAAATAATATTTTAAAAATATTATATTAAATTAAAATTATTAAATTAATTTTGAATTGATTGTAGTTTTATATATATACACACGAATTGAATTGATTTGAATATATAAAAATAATATTTTAATATTAAATCAGAATCGAAGTGAAAAAAAACCAATCGATTGAGCAAAAACTAACATGATCTGTCCCGTTTGCATCTCTAATATGGATTGTTAAATGGACGGATGAACCCACTATCGATGAGCCCAACAAGCGACTCCATTCGACCATCCGAGACCACAGACTTTCCCGAAACTACTGGCATGTTGATGTTAGGTAAATAAAGATGGCTGATGCACATGCCCACGGGTTTGGAATGCTTTGTCTCCACGCCATCTGTTCAAACCATATAGTCAAAAACCTGAGCGCATCACGATTCACGCCGTCGCTTTCTTAACTGAGATTCCAATTTTTTCTTATATAGGGAAGGAAAGTAGCGAACCTTCTGTCATTTTATAAAAAACAGGGTAGTATTAACAAATATCGATGGGGACCTCAGGGCAGGTATCGTGGAAGTTGGCGGATCACCCAAAGCTTCCAAAGGGTAAGCCTATCGCCGTCGTGGTTCTCGATGGCTGGGGCGAGAACAAGCCCGATGAGTTTAATTGTATCCATGTTGCCCAAACTCCCACCATGGATTCCCTCAAACAGGTTCATTTTTTTTTTTTCAATTTCAATGTAAAAGATTGTGCTTTAGATCTGGGGTTTTCTTAAAATTATATGCTTTGGGTACGTCGTTCTCCATGCTGTTATTTGGTATGGATCCCATTTCTTCCATGCAAATAAAGCTTTCACCTTGCTATTTTCTTTTCGAAAGTTGGGTTTTGGTTTTGGGTTTCAATTGATTAGATCTTGAGCTTCATGCTTGTTTCTAGTTTGTATATACTTTTGATTGAATCTTATGTTGTCATTTTTACATTATTTGTAGAACTTATAAAAGCTTGAAACTTCTTAACTTTTGGGTATCAGGTCTGATGTTGAAGTGTTGTTTTTTATGCTCAAATTTCTGGGGTTCAAATCCATCATTCCCTATAAAAAAAAATAATTTTAAAGCATTTATAAAATTGTTATTTTTTGTCATTAAATATTGGAATTTATAACTAGTATTTTAGGGATGTTTGAACTTTTCAGTTTATGCTTAATGAGGATGACAGTGTGATTTGGTTGACTGACAGTATAGTGCATCAAACTATATATATGTTTGTGTGTATTCATATTCTTCTACATCTGCTACTTTTATATATTTTATTGTTCATCCTGCTTCAGTTTTTTACATGTTTGGTATATAGTTTATGTCAGCTTGATTTCACCAATTTGAGGAAAAGAAGTGTTTATGTTAGTTTAGATTATAGTGGTAGTAAATAATTTGATTTGGACATTGTTACATTCTTTTGGTTCATAAAAGGATTTCGTATACCATTACATAATGAGACTTAATTTGGGTGGAATTGGTCTTGTTGATAGGGTGCCCCAGAAAAATGGAGATTGATCAGAGCTCATGGAACTGCTGTAGGGCTTCCAACAGAGGATGACATGGGAAACAGTGAAGTTGGTCACAATGCTCTTGGTGCGGGACGCATTTTTGCTCAAGGGTAAGCTTTACTTTTTGATTTTAGGTGAATTTTTTTTTTTGTGAATATGCTAATGCTATGCTTTTTTCTACCTTTCTTATTTCATAGTATTTAATATCTTGAATGTCTTTTGCTTTTTGTGACCCCCTATCTTTTGCCTTCTGAGATGGACTTCTTTGGAAATTAACTGTGCTGCAAGTGTTCTTACCTATTAATTCATTTGTAACCATAGAGCTAAGCTTGTTGATCTTGCTCTTGCGTCTGGGAAAATCTATGAGGGAGAAGGATTTAAGTATATAAGAAAATCTTTTGAAAAGGGAACCCTGCACCTGATTGGATTACTTAGTGATGGTGGTGTCCACTCCCGACTTGATCAATTGCAGGTAATTTTGGTTACTCAGGACAGGCTCCTATCTTTTCCAGGTTTGACTTCTCTAATCATAGTGCATTCCATTCTGTAAGTTTATTTATTTATTATCTTTTTCTGCAGCTGTTGCTGAAGGGAGCTAGTGAGTGTGGTGCTAAAAGAATTCGTGTTCACATTCTCACTGATGGTCGTGATGTTTTGGATGGTTCAAGCGTAGGCTTTGTGGAGACACTTGAGAATGACCTTACAAATTTACGTGAGAAAGGTGTTGATGCCAGGATTGCATCTGGTGGGGGCCGCATGTATGTCACAATGGACCGTTATGAGGTGAGAAATAATTGTCAGAAGTCCCAAAAGCATGTAGATTGGTTGTGATTGTATAATTTTGCACTAACAATTTGCTATTGTTCTGTTATTTTCTGTTTTTTCAAAGATCTGAAAGATAGAAGAATTCTGATTATTGTTTAAATCACTTCTCTTTTTTCTTTCTATTAGTGTTTTTGCTTCCTCTGTTTTCTTTTTCTTTCCTTTTTTTTTGGGGGGGGGGGTGAATTTTCTTGGTTTTTTGTTGGTTTTAATTTTATGTAGAAGCAAGCATTGATACCAATGAATTATTCCTATAACAGTTGTGATAAGGCTCGTACCAAATGACAGATTTGGCAAAAAGCATCCTGGTTTGCTGATTCTTTTGGCTCCTAGACTTGAGACACTTACCTGTGTGGTTTACTGTTCAGAGAAGGATCATTAATTACATGTTTTGTCTTTATTTGAATGGATCAAGAAGCTAATTTTTGTGAGTGGATCTCTTACAGAATGACTGGAATGTTGTGAAACGGGGATGGGATGCTCAAGTTCTTGGTGAAGCCCCACACAAATTTACAAATGCTGTTGAAGCTGTAAAGAAATTGAGGGAAAATGCTAATGACCAGTACTTACCTGCCTTTGTCATTGTTGATGAGAACGAGAAGGCTGTGGGTCCAATAGTAGATGGTGATGCTGTTGTTACTTTTAACTTCCGAGCAGATCGAATGGTTATGATTGCTAAGGCTCTTGAATATCAAGATTTTGACAAATTTGATCGTGTACGATTCCCTAAAATTCGTTATGCTGGAATGCTTCAGTATGATGGCGAGTTGAAGCTTCCAAGCCATTACCTTGTTTCTCCACCTGAGATTGATAGGACATCTGGTGAATATTTGGTGCATAATGGTATCCGCACGTTTGCCTGCAGGTGTGTCTATTACAAGTCATTATAATCCATACCTCTGACATTCATTTACAATCATTGCTTGTTATCAAGCTTCTTTAAACTTACATGTTACCTTTGTTTTTACTTTTTAGTTTTAAATTCCAAGTCTATATACTTGTCTCTCAACATTAAAGTTAATCCAGGCCCCTAGCTGTGATCACCAGGAGAAAGGAAGGTTCATGAGACTTGTCTCCTGCCATATTCATCTATTATCACATGACAAGAGTTATATGCCTATTTTTATCTTGGAATCATTCTTTTAGTGAAATGTAGGTTTTAAATTGTTATGTCTGATTATTTACTTGCTTTGCTGTATGTTAATTTTCCCCTTCATGCATCAACAGTGAGACTGTCAAATTTGGTCATGTCACTTTCTTCTGGAATGGAAATCGCTCTGGCTATTTCAACCCTGAAATGGAAGAATATGTGGAAATTCCAAGTGATGTTGGCATTACATTCAATGTTCAACCTAAGATGAAGGCATTGGAGATTGGTGAAAAGGCTAGGGATGCAATTCTGAGCCGCAAATTTGACCAGGTGATAATTAATGGAGTAATACTAATAGGCATTCAAATTGATGAAAGATGCTAAATAGCTCTTTTATTATTGGTTTAGGTACGTGTGAACATACCAAATGGTGACATGGTGGGTCATACAGGAGATATCCAGGCTACGATTGTGGCATGCAAGGCTGCTGATGAAGCTGTCAAGGTATGGTGGCACTAGTTCATTCTTTAATTGTTACTTGGAACTTTCTAATGATTTACATCATTTTAATGGATCGTAATCAGTTGTGGTTTTGCTAGGTATAAAATGTATATAATTGTAAAGATGAATTAGAATGTTGATGTTTAGGGGAAAAATGATGTAAATGGTTTATCTATGTTGGGGTCCTCTCAATTTCACTAGTTTCGCTGGCACTCTTCAGTCTCCTGTCCATCTAAGGCACATGAGAGGGGCCAAACTCAGCCTCCATCTGATGCCCATAATAAACTTATCATTGGAAATCAATATTGCCTTTTATTTATTTCTCCTGAAGTATCCTACACAGGATGCATATCATTGGGCGGATCCCCATATTTGACATTCACACCCAAGTCTTTCTGTTGTTAACTTGTATTTTTATATCCAATTTTATTGTGAAGCATTGCAACACTGTCTTGGAAAAGAGCTTTTCTTACTTGATTATATTGTTGGGTTGCAGATGATCCTTGATGCCATAGAGCAAGTTGGTGGAATATATGTAGTGACTGCAGACCATGGCAATGCAGAGGACATGGTGAAGAGGAATAAGTCTGGACAACCCGTTTATGACAAAAATGGCAATCTCCAAATACTCACCTCCCACACTTGCCAACCTGTAAGTTTCCAAAATCTTTCTTGGAAAGAAAATTTAATCTAGGTGTGAGTCTAGTTTTTATTTAATATTACTCTGGGGTGGCTTGACGGCAATCTGCTAATCTGCATAGTATGTAGTATCTATCATTTTTGGCAAACTTTACTATCAAAATCTTGTATTTCTTCAATTAGAATAATTTTTTTCATTACTCATGTTGAGTGGGCGGAAAGTTTACTTCATGTTTTGGATGTGTTCCAACTAGGTGCCTATTGCAATTGGAGGTACAGGATTGGCACCTGGTGTTAGATTCCGCAATGATGTTCCTGATGGTGGACTGGCCAATGTGGCTGCAACCGTCATGAATCTCCATGGTTACGTAGCTCCTAATGACTATGAGCCAACACTCATTGAAGTAGTCGACAACTAGGCTTATATAGCATGAGAACATGGCCTAGATTATATTTTGCACCATTTTTACAAGGTGAATGCCGAAACAAACAATTTATATTAAGGATTATTTGGTTGAAAAACAACCTTTGGTAGACATTTGTGGTTGAGTATTTTTCCCGAACATGTACGGAAATTTTTGGACTTAACTGCCTCTCAAATCTTCCCCGGGCCAGTGGAATGACTTATCTTTCTTTTTCCTCTTATTGCGTGCTTCTTATCATGCTGTAGTTTAATCTCTGGATCTCTTATAAAACTTTTTTTTTCAGCAATTATATTGTGATGCTTAGCCTTGATTTTGAAGTTTGTTTCTTTCACCATCAACAAGGCTTTAAACCACGCCTGTAGAAACGACCAGGTTAATAAACAATAAAGTGATCTTTGAAGTTAGAACACAACCAAACCATGATCTAGTGGCAAAGACGAATTCGAAAGTGTATTGCGTTAGTGATTTAAGAGGGGATCATGGTGGTGGCATGTCATGCTAGTTGCATAATTCGTGCCTTCGTGGTTTGAGTTCGATTTGTGCGTGTCACTTGCATGTTCTTATCCTGCTCAAATCTCAAATCTTGAAAAAAAGTGATCCTATTGGTATCAATTTTTGTGTAACTAATTAGAAGGAAAAAAAATGAACAATCCAATGTTAGCAAAGCTGGAAATTAGAATTATAATAGAATTACAATTCTTTTCTTTTCATGGAATATTAAAAAACTTCAATATTATCATCCAAATTAAAATTCAGATTAGGCCGATGTTTTGAAATTCAGCTTTTGGACACAGTTTACTGTGAAGTTTTTTAGTAAAGTATGTGCAATTTTTTTTAAAAAATAATTTGATACAAATTTTAATAAAAAATTTAAATCGATAGATTAATAAAATTTGATGTGTAAATCAATAATATATAAAAAAAATTAAAAATATTATTTATAATTTAAATTTGATCGATATTTAATAATAATAATTTTATTAAAAATGTCTACGTAAAAAAATATATAAAAATTTATTCAAATTTTGTACACTTAATTTATGTAATGAGACCTTTTAATCTATCAATTTTGATTTTTAATTTTAATTTTAATTTAATCGTTTTCAATAAAAAATTTCACGAACTTCGTCTTAAAAATTTCATTAAAATTTTTCCCTTAAATTTTTTTTTTGTATCGAAATAATAATAAAAATTCAATATTATAAATCCTCATCTAATTTGGGAGAAAAGGAAAATAGAAGGCAATAATTTTTCATTGTCATATCTATTTCTACTTAACCACCATTATTTTGTTACAGGACATAATTCACAGATAAATTCCTCTTCTTAGTAACAGCCAATATATTATTATTTAAAACCTTCATTTTAAAAAATAATTTTCTTTGTAATGTATCTTATTATAATTATCATAAAAAGATGCTTTGCCAGAAAAATTCTTCATGGTATGCACAGATTATGCATAAACTCTGAATTTATTAGATATTTTTTCATAAATATATGGTTAATAAAAATATAACGAAAGAAATATGATTATAATAAAAAAATCCAATACTGCATGGTTAGCATGTCATAAAATAAGTTGATATTATAATTTATGCTGAATATTTTTATAATAATTTGGCAATGGATAAATAGAAAAAAAAAAAAAAAATCAGGAGTGATCAACATACTCCAAATTAATTAAGAAGCTTTAGCTAACTAAATATAGTACTATATGTTTGTGAATTGTGGCTGCTGCATGCATGGCTAGATGTCATGGCGACACATAGGACAAGTATTGCTTCTGCCGTTTAAGAGCCAATCGGTGATGCACTGCCGGTGATAGACATGGTTGCATGAGACTTGTTTAGGAGTTCCCTCCGACAAACTTTGAAAGCAAATTGAGCAATCACCCGTCGCATCATCAACCGTTGCCATCTCCGAAACCAAACAGATCACTGCTTGTCGCCTGGCTTCAGGATTATCCGGCATTGTCAGAGCATCAACCAGGTCAAATTGGTCTGTATGGTGAAAGCCTCAAAAGTTACATAATACATAAAAATAATAAACAAGGAACAGACATGAATCCCAAGTATCAACCCATGCCATGAACGATTTTTAAAGACCAAAATCAATGTTAGAACACAAGACAAAAACAGCATACTAAGCAAAGTTAGATCCGCTTTTACTGTTCCATTGCAAGCTCAAAGGAACATAGGTTTTTACTTGTTTTTGAGTACTGGAAACTAGAATGCAATACCTTCGTAGTTCGACATTGTTTTTGAGTAGCAACTAGCTCAGTTTATATTCCTCTCACTCTCTAAATTTCATCGTAATTATTGATGTGGGCAAGTTAAACCCCCAACCCTTCTATATATAGTATTTTCTAGGGTTTTTTTCAAACAATATATTCTATGATCTTTAAAAGGAAAAAGTTTATTTCGTCCCTCCACTTTTCATTAAATTTATTAGTTAATTAAATTTGGTTAAAATATAAATTTTGTGATCTCTCATAGGAGTGTAATTGATCAAATTCGAGTTGATACAGTATTAAGCTCAAACTCAAACTTGACCTGAAATTAGAGGTTTAAAATTCAATTCGAATTCGATTAAATTTTATTGTTTTAGCTTGAGTTCGACTTGAGATAGAAATATAATTACTTGAACTCGTTCGATTAGACTTGATTAATATGTAAAAATAAGCTTAATTTTTATACTCGACAAAAACTTGATTATTTATGCTCAAGCTCGAATTTGAGTTTAAAATATTTTATTAATTAAAATAATTAAAATTTATTAAAATATTAAAATTTGATTAAGCTTGTAAACTATTCAAATCGGATATAAGAATACATGAACTAGGCTTAATTGATAAATCAAGCTACTTGAACTTAAGTTCGATTTGATAATAACTAAGCCAAATTTAAATTTTATTTAAGTCAAATCTGAATAATTTATGAGTATTAATAAATCATTTACAATCCTATTTCCTTACACTTTACCAAATTATATAGATTTTGATTCACTTATTTTATTCCAATAAATAAAGTTTTTGTATTTATGGTAAGTGTTGATTTCGATCTCTTTGTTTATTAACAAAGTGAAAAATTAGATGTTTTGGTCAATTGAAAGCATGACATATCAATTTAAATATATTTTTATAATACACTAAAATTTATTTTGTCATGTGTGTTGAATTGAATCTACATGTCATGTAACTTGTTCAATCAACTAGAAATAGCTATATCATTTGAATGAAGCTTTGATTTAGTAATAAAAAAATTCCTAAAATCTTGAGATTTATGGGTTTATTTTAATTTTATGTTGAATTTATTTAATTATATTCTAATTGGTTTGAGTTTTTACTTTTCTTGTCATATGTATATAGAATGCTTTTTTCTAGTTATACAATAACAATGGAAATTATCCAAAAAAAAAATTAGACTTATTGATTGTTATCAGATTAGTTTTAAAGTTCGAATGATCCTCTTTTTTATTAAAAACAAAATTAAACAGTGATAAATTAAGGTCGAAAATTGTTCGGAATATAATAAAGTCTTTGGGCACATATTTTTCTCTTAAAAACTATTTATGATATGCACAATAAGGGCAGAAATTATATAAAATATACTAGCTATACAACAGATCATGAATAATAAATTATATATTTTATTGGAGTTTATATTCTAATTTTTCTAACCAAAAATATATCCTGTCAAATATTAACTGCAAATACAATAGACAAAATTAATTTATATATATATATATATCTATATATCTATATGAATAAAAAATGAAAGCAAAACTAGCCAGGCATGGTCTCTTGCAGCTCTTCCATGAAAATCAAATAGACATTGCTTATCAATTTAATAGCATCTAAATTGGCAGCTATTGCTCTATTCTCCTCCAAACTGGCATATTTTCTAAAATGTGATTAATTAAATATCATATAAATTTATTAATTTTTATAAACATATCCTAATGGGATATACATCAACCCTCTAATTCCATTAATGGAGTTTTTAAATTTCACTGATAGTATATTGAATAATTTTTTTTATAAATATATAGTTAATCACAAATCCACAAACGCATGGTTATGCATAAACATGTGTTTGAGTCCCACATGTAATAAAGTAAGTTGATACTGTAATTTAATTATATTAAATATTTTGTAATAATTTTGCAACGTAATTAAAAAAAAAAAGAGGAAAAACAAAATCAGAAGTGATCAACAAAATCCAAATTAACAAAGAAGCTTAGCTAACTAAATATATATGTTTGTAGGGTGTGGCTGCTGCTATAAGGCTAGATGTCATGGCGGCACATAGGGCAAGTGCTGCTTCTGCCGTTTAAGAGCCAATTGATAATGCAGGATTGGTGATAGGCATGGCCACATGTGACTTGTTTAGCAGTTTCTCCGATAAACTTTGAAGGCAAATCGAGCAATTACCCGTTGCTTTATCTACCGTCGACAACTCTGAAACCAAACGGATCACTGCTTCTTGTCTGGCTTCGGGATTATCCGGTATTGTCATAGCATCGTCGAGGTCAAATTGGTCTGTATACATGGCGAAAGCAACAAAAGTAAAAGAGACAATACATAAAAGAAAAAATAAACATGAATCCTAAGTAAAAACCCATGCCATGAATGATTTTTAAAGACCAAAACCAATGTCAGAACTCAAGACAAAAACAACAAATGAAACTATATTTGATTCATTTTTACTGTTCCACTTCAAGGTCAAAGGAACGTAGTTGTTGTTGTTGTTTTTTTTTTTTTATTGATGAGGGCAAATTAAGCCCCCAATCCCCCTCTATACATGGTATTTTCTAGGGTTTTCTGTCCCGTTAAATTTATTAGTTAATTGAATTGGTTAAAGCATTGATTTGGTGATCCATCGCACTTTACAAAATTATATAAATTTTGATCCTCTTCTTTAATTAACTTGACTAATCAATGCGAAATATATATTTTTTAAAATTATTGAAATTTATATTTTTGTCATGTATACAATTGGCTTGATTTCTCATGCGTTCAATATAAAAAGTCATGTTACTTGTCAAGTCAGCTAAACAAATATAATATAAATATTATTTACAATTAACATGGATATATCATCTTTCCCCACATAGATCCCTTCTCATACTTAATATATATATATATATATATATATATATATAGAGAGAGAGAGAGAGAGAGAGAGAGAGAGAGAGAGAGATGGATATATAAGATTTTTATAGAATTTTACTTAGTGAATTTTTAAAAATAGATATAATATGTGAAAGTATAAAAATAAAAATCAAAGTTTATCATTTGCTGTTAATAAACAAATAGATTTAATTTATTATATATTCATTATAATTTGGAGATTGTAACAAACCCTTTATATATATATATAATAAAAATAAGGATGAAGACTAAATCTATATTAATTAAATATGATTTTTTATGTTTATTTATTCACAATTTATATGTTATTTATATATGTTAATTATATAAAATTTAAAATAATTTATTGTTTTTATAAAATTAATATCTATTTATATGTTATAATGAAATTACTTACCACAAAAAATGTAAATGTTTAGTTACAAGATAAACATTAATATATGAGGAGAAATCCGTTCATATTAGTGTAATTCTTATACTTTTTTCGATAATTAGATCAAAATTACTAAATTTAAAATATTTTTTGATTCAAATGATTATTAGTTTAATTTTAATCCAAAAAAGTGTAAGAATTACAATAATATAAGCAATTCCCCATTTAATATATATATATATATATATATACATATATACACACACACATATGCATACATCCAACTTCCAAAGATGGATATATTGTGTAAATTTAAAAGAAAAGAAATATAATTTTAAAATTAAATGAAAAAAAAAACTGTTTGCTATAATTATTATTAGTGATCATCATTCATCTCAAATAAGGAGTTGAAGCAACATCTAATTTACTTGAGAAGTTGACATATTGCTAGGGCAATTAACCATGCTACCAAAGTTGTAGCTACAACACATATTATAGTGAGACCATACTCCCGATGGCTTTGCCTGCAACAAAGTTGTAGGCTACCGGTTCTTGGTTTTCCGCATGCGTGACAAAATATATTCCCACATCTGCATTTCCAAAATCAATCAAATCATAATGAGATTAAAATTCTGATTTCATTTGATTTACATTAGCTTTTTATTATTATTTATAACTTGTTTTATAAATGTCTAATTCGAATAACGGAAGATTAATTATGATTTGTCACATGTTTGCAGGTTATGCTTTTTTTAATTGGATTTTTTTCATGATTTTAAAGGTTTACGGTTATAATTACATAATAAATAAAAATTATAATTTTATTTACATGAAATAAAATATTAAAGATTTAATTTCATAATTCAATAATATATTTGGGTATTAAACCAAATAAATCTTCAATGTTCACAAGAAAAGTTATTAAATCAAAGAGATATCATTAAAGATTTAATCGAATAACTTTTTTCTTTTTCTATAATAAAATATTCTAATATTCAATTGCTACTACTGTTCCCAAAACATTTTTCAATTGTGCTAAAACCCTTAACAATGAAGAATATGACAAATGAAATCAAGTAGAAAAGTTGCAAAATTGATAAAATGTCGGATTTTTAATTTTATTAATTAAAAATTTAATCTCTGATAACTTCAAATATACAAATGAGATCGTACCTGCAACGTATTAATCGACAACCACCGGTTCGCTGCACGGCATTTCCACACATAGGGCACCTAGTCCACTTCTTTTTTTCTATCAATTCCCCAACTAAAACATCATTCCGATCTCTGAATTCTTCCATCTCCCGGCATCGATAACCGGCATGCCAAGGCGTCTTGCATCGGAAACAAAACTTGTTCTTGCAATTAGGACAGGTACATTTCTGCACCTTGTCCTTGCACTCGTTCACGATCAAAGCCGAGCAATCTCGATGTGGGCAATAAGCAAACCTGTTGGCGTAGTGAATTAAAACGGCTGCATCGCAGAGAAGATCACACCATTTATTGAAGAGATGGTTTGAGATGATAGGCCTGCATGAAAGAGGGTCCAATGAAAACATGCAGCTCAACGCAGGGCACTTGATATTGGCGACATTGAATCCCACCTTTAATTCAATATATTTGGCTATGCAATCGAACAGAAATCATGCTTGCAGTTGCCAGCAGTACTGTTCTTGAATTTGTTGTTTGCTCTGACAGGTTCGATGCAGATTTCACATGTGAAATCTGAATCAGCCACTTCTGGTTCTGGTTTTTTATGTTTTTGGCTTTGCTCGAGCTTTTGCTGCGTGTTTCCCATGTTAGGGACTTAGCTTAGGGTTTGGCTAGTGAGAGGCTGCTACATGGAAATCCTATCCTACTGTAGTATTATTTGTGGTTATCCTTATCTATTAAAAATTTGTTTAAAGTAGAGTTATGCTTTTATAAATACCAATATTCGACAGCATATTTTTATCTTGCCAACAGTTACGTGGATCGTTAGTAAAATGTAGGAGACAGAATAATTTTAATGATATGATTTAAATCTTGACAATTTCAAATAAAAAATAAAATTTTTTAAGCTTTATTCCATAAAAGTTATCATGTTATATCCTTAACATGATTTAACCATAAATGCCAAAATCAAATTTAAAATTTCCTCACTCACAATATTCCAAGAAACGTAAAACTGTTGCTGATGGCTTGGCTAATTAAGTCGGTTCCTAAAGATCTCAAGCACTATTGTCCTAGAACCCTAAGGTCTTAGAGTCAAGTTCCTTTGTGAGATTGGTTCTTATTTTTTAATTTGTTGATTAATTTATTTGTTTGATTATTAAATAATTTTTATATATGAATATAATGCTTGCTTATAATTGCAATTTGTATTTGTAATTTCAAAAAAAATTCTTGTATTTCTTATTTGGTTTGCTAAATTTTTCTCTTTCTTGTTCATTTTCTTTTAAATATATATATTTCCATATTACCTTTAAAAAAATTTTTAATTTATAGTAAATAGATAAATTTTTTCAATATTTAATTAGATAAATCTTTTTTTATTAATAAAATTGATTTGAATTAAGATTTTATAATTGTAATTAAATCATGTTAAAATTTCGTAATATAACTCCCTATGTAACCAAGGAATAAAAATTAAGCGACCACCAACAAAAAAAATGCAACATTAATTCTCACAAATGACTAATTAAAACCGATCAAAAAGGAAAAAAAAAATCTTTGAAATATTAATGAGCAAAAGAATATACTGACAAATAAAATATTGAAGCAGATTAAATGCTAGCTATAATTGGATATACAATAGTTGAATCAGAATATATAAAATAAGAGCAGTAATTTGTAATTATAATTAAATATATTAGTAATAAATGCCCAAAAAAGCATTAAGAGAAATACAGAAATATTTGTAAGTTGAAAGTGCTGGCAGCCAGGTTGACCTCTAAGAGTTCATTTCGATTGCATGCTGTTTTTTGAGTCATAAATGGGTTCTGAAAGTAACCATGTACTTGGATGCATACATGGGACCAAAGGGAAAATGAGTTAATTCTACAGCTTTCTTGGCCATTGATCTGTTAATGTTTATGTGAAGAAGCAAATATGTGTACTAAAGGCTGTATTTGTGATTATATGTTGCAGTGAAAGCAGAATATATATATGGTTGGAACAACTGATAAAGGTATTATTGCAAGGATATTGTGAGCCAAGCCATCTCCCCAACTTAGGAAATCTTATGCTGCTGGCACACCAGCAACATGGTATGTCAAATAACACTGCTTCCAAGCGAAGTAAAGACTCTTCTAAGTAACAATCAAGCTCAGATTTCCTAGAAGCCACCTCATAAGTCTGCTTGCAGAAGCATAGCTGCTAAAAGAGACCGGCATATGTATAATAATCAGTACTGGGTGATGTTGAACAACTAGAATCACCAGTGGCTGAAGCAGTTGTCAACTTGCTGGAATCAATTGCATAGTCATATGGTAAACATCAGTAGCAACTTAGTGCAATCTATATAACTGCACCTTACTATCACCACATAGATCTCGATATATACATGAGAAGTACTCCAGAAAAATCTAATTTTAATTGGGGGATAAGAACTACTGTAAAAGAAAAAACCAACCATATGTCGCTTATGAAAGAAATTCCTAACTGTTTCAGTCCATGATCCCTTCTTGCAACTGAAGCTCTGGATTGAGGATTCTAATACCAATCATAAGTTGAAGATGTTTTCTTTGAAAAATGACTTTCTGCAAAGTGAGCCAACCAAAAATCATGTCCAGTACTCTATATTTGATAAGGCATCTTCTATGGCAGGAATAACAGCATTCTTATTGATCTATAATGACAAAGTTAAGATGCTTACCAATTTATAAGGCCCCTGTGCTTCCACTACCACTAGATAATCAATCATGGAGACCATACAGTTCTTCTAGTCCTCTAATATGCAAAACATCAAGATTTTCTGTTCATCATTTTGGTAGCTCCATGGAGAGAAAATTCTATTACCACACAAAGATTCTCACCAGTATAATTGCTCACTAGCCTGATTGCAGCAGCAGCAACACAAAGGCATGGCTTGCATCAATGACAGAACTTTTTGTTTGTAAAATTGATTGGATAAATGAGTATTAATGCTTTTCAATTGTACAGGGTGAGAAATTACTTATTAACCAATGAAGGGAAAAAAAGGGAAGGAATTTGGCAGTTTAAAGGGGGAGCAAAAATTAGGCTGAGGTAGAGACAAATTTCAGTGAAACAGGAAACCAATTTACATAAACAAAAACCCAGGTTTGTTGAATCATACCAGGATTAGACTAAAGAAAATTTTATGCGCATCCACAAATTTTATTAGCAATTAACAAAGAAAATAACATGATATTATCTCTATTTATGGAGAATTAAAAAGAAAATGTAAAAGTAGAGGGTAAAATGAGGAAAGAAAATGCAAGCTTCCACTAGATTAGATAAGTACAAGCAAAGTATATATAATCCAAAAAGATAGAAAATGAAAATATTACAATTTTGTCTTATACTTGCAGTCTTGGTCCCCAATACTTGCATTAGATAAAAAGACAATAAAATCGCAGGAAGTGGACGCAACAACATGAATCTTAAACAGATTCAAGATATTAACCTTGCCTGGAATCTTAGCAAAAGTGTTCAGAGGCAATTCACCATCGGAAACATCAGAAATGAACTTGGAATCTGAGATCAACTGATCCGCCATGACAGTCAGTGTCAAGTTCATGGGAACCGTTTTATCCGCAGAAATCTTACCAGCTGGAATTGGAACCTCGCCTATCTGTTTACCTCTGTAATTCAACTGTGCAGACGAGTTGGTGTACTTGAAGCCAACTTTGTTTGGGTTCTTGACTGAAAGATCCACGTCCAGGCTAGCGTTTAACGACACTTTGAGTCTGGCTAAATCCAGAGAAAACCTCAGGTTGGCTAAGGAGACAGAGTCGACGGTTGTCACGGGGCGTTTGGCCTTGAAAACGGTTAAAGCTAAGATCACGATCAGGATTATGATCAAAATCAAAACACCCATCACTCCAAAACAGATGTTTCTGCATCTACGCCTACGCTTGAAGACATTAGCAGCTGAACCGCCTGGCTGTTCTTCCATTGTTTTCCCACTCTTGTTTCTCAATGATTCCACCTCCATGTTTGATAATTCTTTGTTCCAGGCCGAAAATTTTGCAGATTTTCACTCTGGATTGGTTTTTAATTTGACAAATAATAATAATAATAATAATAATAATAATAATAATAAAAGAACTCAAATTGAAATAAAATAGCCCATACTAGCAGCTACCAACCAACAATTAAAACCAGGCTAATGAAAGCATTGTAGCATAAATTTCTTTATTATATCCCTCAAATAAGCTAAGCTAAACGAGAAGACATGAATGAATTGATTTATTGCTCGCCAAATTCACTTGATAACGAGTAAATTTGACTTGATTACAAGGATTTTCATTAAATTTGGAAACTTTACCTCAACAATGTCAACAGCTAATTTTTAACAAAATATCAAATCAAGCATTAATGGGCATTTATATATGTTGGGCAGTTAGGCAGTCCTCGAGTTCATGTTTCATGGGGACTATTGATATAATTTTTTTGAAGGAAATTTAATTAAGATTTTGACTTTTCTTTTGGATTGGATTCTTCTTCTTCTTCTTCTTTTTTTTTTTTTTTTTGAGTTAAAAGATATTCTTTGCTTAGTTCAAAGAGATTGGAATATATTTTCGTTTTTCACATGTCGGGTCGTGTGGATCTTATCATTTTGATATCAGATTATTTTAGATTTCAGTCATTTTAAGTTATAATTTTTTATGAATTTAGATTTTTTTTGAATTTGAATCACATTTATCTCCGAGTTAGTCATTTCATTTTTTAGATTTTATAAAAAATATAATTATATTTACATAACTTTTGAATCTCCATTGAATTCAGATTTAAATTTTTAAGCTTTCGATCATTTTCAAATTCTAATCATTTTAATTTTTGATTGTTTTAGATTTAAATTATTTATTTTTTTGATAAAATCGAATTGAACGAATTCAAAATTTTAATGAGTTTTTGAATTCAAATTTATTTTGTCACCTTAATTTTTTTTTTCTAAGTTAGCACTAAGATATTCTTTGCCTACTTTCCTAAAAAAATAATAATATTTTTTTGATGAAATAATAATATTCTTTGCTTCAAAGAAACCGAGGATAAAATATTCATTGTATGTTTAAATAATCAAATCAATTCTGATAAAAGAAAATAATAATCAATCGGATATTGAGTCAGTGGAGCGATCGGTACCTTTCAGTTCAATCAAAAAATTCCACTTCACTATTAAATATATATATTTTTTTCCAAAAATTTAGAAAATAAAAAAAATGAACTTTTTGGTTAATTATGAACTATGAACTTGTTGGTTCAAGTTATGAAAAGTTTTGGATTGTTTAAGGTAATGTTTCTGAAAGCGTTGACCGGGAAGACTTTGCAACCTATTCAATTGATCTAAAGGATTGATGTTTCATTGTGATGGTGATTTGGGGTGTCGATAAGATGAGTTCAGGTCATCTGAAGGATGATTTAAACCTGCAACAAAAACGTACGGTCGCTAAATATTAGTGTTGACTTTTTAATAGGCATTTTAACGATCAAATCAACTAAGTGTTTAGAGTTTTTATGAGAAAGACGGTAAGTTATTAAGGGCATCGAGGATGCTTAAAGGAGAAGGGTTTTTAATTTTTATTATGCCTAGATCTTCTTTTATCTTATGTACAAGAGGAAGGACGATGATATGATCAAAATAATTGACAGTTAATGGTAAGTTTATGTAAAGCTCGAAGAAAAATAACGTGAGTGAAAATAAATTATATTTAATGATTTTATTAAATATAAATTATATTTAATAATTTTAAATAAATTAAAAATTAATTAATTTATTGTGAAGTAATTTATTGATGGGACATTAATAAAAGTAATTAGACAAGCAAGAATAAACCCATTTAATGACGAGAAATTTGGATGTCGACCGTCTTAAATAATAATGTAGCCGTTGGATGCATATTGACTTAATGAGTATAAGAATTGATTTTGTTGATTTAGTGAATATATATAACAATAAGGAATTGGAATGTGATGGTACAATAAAAATTTCTTCTCATCATCTATCATCTAAATAAAATCATTGACCGTATTTACTTTTTATTCACTGATTAAAAAGATCTCGATTTTTGTCCAAATTTCCAATTTTCTTAATTCTTTATTCCCATTTGATTCAAATTGATTCAACAAATTATGCTTGAATCATCCAATATGTCTATCCAGACCAATGAGGATATTCACTTCTACATTCACTTCATAGAACAAACTTTGGTCAAGCTAAAGGAAAAAAGATTGATTGAAACAATAAACTAAATGGATCCAATTTTTAAAAACACTAGTGAAAACAAGTTATTACCATTGGTGTCGATTAATTTTGTCTAAATGAGTACATGTCTACAAAATGCTGGATTGGATGCCATAATGTTAGTATATTTTTGTCGGCAAGGCAAAATTACCATTTGTGTCTTTGATATGGAAGATCTTGAGTGTTACATAAATTATTTCATTATAATTTTATTTAATAGAGATCATGGCAAATGCGAGATTTATCCTTTAATTAAATATATATATCTTTCTATATATTTCATAATCAATTGAATTAAGTTTTAAATTTATTTTTATTTCTTTCGTACACATAAAATAATAATTTTTAAACTTACAAATCATTAGGTATTAAAAATGAATTTCTCATAAAATAATAGTAAAAGACCCTCAAATGTCTTCAAACTATTGTAAATAAATAAAAAATTACAGTTAATTAATCTTGATCATCAAGATTAAACAAAGCATATATATATATATGTATGTTTGACTTGAGGTTATGTAAAAGGTTATATTACTATATTTGATCATTTATTATTGTTTTCTTTTGAGGAATTAGAGCGCGTACTAAGCCAAACAACAATGATTAGGAAGAGGACAACCACATTAATGAAATAAAATAAATGGACGTGCATTATCATGTTCCCAAAACTGTGCTTGCATCCGCAACCAGTGCTTGTTAATTTTTTCCCACAGTGGTAGCAGAACTCCGTCTTGCATCTGCAACCACTGCAAAGTTAGCAAATTACGAACATAATAAAATCCGAAAACTTAATTGTAAGTACAAATATTCGAAACGAAAGATCATTGGAAGACCAAACATATAGAAAATTCTATGTTGTTATTAGTCAATTGAATGACTTTGCCCAACCACCTCCTAATTTGCAGATAGGCAATAGCTTCTGCCTTGTGCCAGACATGAAATTTGGTGTTTGAAAGCTACTGTTAATTCAATGGTGAACTTGATATTCAAATTCAAGAAAACACTTGACTGTTTGTTAGCTTTTCCTATTAAGAACTTGTAACAATTTTCTTCATCATAGTACAAAATTTTGGTTCCTTAAGACAATGTTTGGAAAGTGAGAAAGATGTTTCCCCACTGGATTTGCGGCTCCACAGCTTATACTCAAATCATCAATATAGTAAGTTCTCTGTTACTCCCATTATGCTCACCATGTCACTCAATTTTCAATCCTGATTTTGAATTTCTTCTCTTAGTTTTTTATTTTGAATTTCTAAACAATGGTTTTAATGACTACCCATTCTAGAACTTGTCACCAAGATCAAAATAGAACAAAACAGAACTAAAAAAATATATTTATTTAGATACAAAGGCAGCTAAAGCCTAACAGGAATCAGGCAACAAAGAATTTGCAAGTACCGGGATCAAACTCAGATTTACGAAAATAAATTGAACCATTTGGATTAAATCCTGGGTCAAAGAAGGGATTTAAATTGTCATATATTTAATATGATTGACGGCCCTAACTAAAAATCACAATACAATCTGTAATTTAAAGGATGGAAAAAAAATTAGAGAAAGAGAGATTCAAACCTGCATTTAACAACAGAGCAACCATGAAGGCGTTCAACACACTGACCACAACCAGGGCATCTAGTCCACTTCTTTCTTTCAACAAGCTGTCCAAAAAGAACATCATTTCTGTCCCTCATTTGCTCACTTTCTTCACAATGATAACCAGCATGCCAAACGGTTTGACACTGAAAACAAAACAGTTGCTTGCAATTGGGGCACTTAGCTTTCTTCACATTCCCTCTACACTCATTCACTACCAAAGCCAAGCAATTCCTGTTGGGGCAATAGCTTCTTTCAGACCCTAAAAGACAATTCTCACATAGCAGATCACACCAGGTTGAAAACAGGGTTGCTGAAATCATAGGCCTGCATACCAATGGATCTAAATGGTATTGGCAGCTTGGTTCGGGGCATTCGATTTTCGCATTGTTGTCTTGGATTTTGACTTCTATGTATTTGGCTATGCAATCTTGGCAAAAAGGGTGTCTGCAAATGTTGGTATTCTTGAATTTCTTGCTTGCCAATGTCGGTTCGATGCAAATCTCACAAGTGAAGCTAGAGTCAGGATCTTCTTCTTCTTGAGGATTTTCCAGGGCTTTTCTTGGTTTTCCTGGAAAGTTTCCCATGCCTGTATTGTTGTTTACGTTTGGCTTTTAACAATTGTCAGGATGCTTGAGTCTGGCCTATATAGGCCATATCTTGCTTGACTGGTATGGTTTCTTTCAGTATTTAGGCAAAGGAACTGCCATGAAATTGCCTCGAGGAAAGCAAACAATCTCCTTTGGAAACTGACATTTTTTCAAAAAATTATACTTACTAGTTATATACTAATATCTGGACTTAAAAGAGTAAATTACGTTTGTAATTCCTAAAATTTCATCAAATGCCATATTCATTCTCATAATTTTAAATATCAAATGTTAATAATCATCAAACTTTCAATTAAATATGATTGCACGAACCATTTAAATTAAACTCCAAATTTCTGTCAATAAAGTTTTATTACTTCATCTAACTCTCAAATTAACAGAAGAATTAACTGTTGGATTGACCAAATAAACTTTTTTAACTATGTATAAATTGGAATTTTGAAGACAAAATCATAAAGTTTAAAACTATAGGAACAATAATGATATTTGACACAAACTTTAAACACGATAGATGCAATTTACTTATATCTTAATATATATTTAGAATTGAATTTGGAAAACCCATAAAAAAAAAACACTAGAAAAATGGCAATTGATTCTTATTATATTGCAAAATATAACCCTTATTAATCTGCTAAACATGCATAGTTTTTGGTCATGCTTTTTGGAGCTGTATGTCCCTGTCAACCATCATATGTCAAGTAGCTTAGTCATTTCTAAAGCATGAAAATAATACTACTTCTAAATCAAATAAAACTTTAATTTACTATTATTATCATCATAATAAATAACTAAAATTAGAAATTTTTATTTTATTTTTTGGTATTACGGGTAAATTTATGGTTAATGGAAAATTTTCGTGAAATATTTTAATTTTTATTATTTTTATCCAAAAATCAATGAAATTTGGCAAATTTGACTTTGGTCTTTTTCTTTTTATCAACATGTGCTTCGGGTCAGTGAAAAAAAAAATTGACCTTCAAAGTTGCCCGTAAAAGAAGTAAAGGTAGGCAGCTTCCAAGAAATTTCACAGAAAAATACAGTTGCGTTTGAGAAAAGCCAAGTTAAGGAAAGGGGTTATCCATCACGATCAGCATTTCCGTTATTAGAAAAAAATTGACCAAATTTTGCATTATTATTATGGGTGAAGATTCTGAGAACTGCAGAGGAAATGCAAAAGCTTCCTTTATTTATCATGCTTTATTTAACCTAACGTGGTCCAATACCATCAATAATGTTGGTTCAGTTTGCATAGATGACACATTTGTTATCCTCAATCTAATTTTGGTCATTCCATCTTTATTCAATAATTTTGTTAGCCATTAAAAAATAATTATGATTTATATTAGATCTAATAATTATGTATTCGTATCATATAAAATATTAAAAATTATGTATTTATTTCATATTATATGCGAAAATAATATATCATAATTCATGTCAACATAAAAATATTAAATATATATTTTTAATTTTATTAAATTTAAATATAATTATTACTAAAATTTTAAATTATATTATTCTTTTTATATTCATATTATATTTATATTATATCAGATGATCAAATTTAATTCATATAAATAAACATTCTAACATGTCTTAAAATCGAAGATTGCCCGATTGTGTTAGAGCCCTAGCCCAAAATTCGGGCTTTAAGTCTTATACAAAGGAGACTTTGCTATAGATTTGGAGTTTTGGATGGACCTATTGAGCAGCCCACTTTGCCCCTTTAAAGCCTTAAGCTCATGTAATTATATGTCCAACAAAGGGGCATTACTGTAAAAGCGAAAGAAGTTACCGTTGAAACTCTGGGCTCTTCCTTATAAACAGAAATCGAAGTCTTTTCATTTTTCAAAGTACCCATAATCGAAATTTCAAAGAAAAAAAAAAAAAAGAATCCCAGAAAAGAAAGCGAAGTGCTGAAACTGCAGATCAAGAGCAAGAACAATTGATTCATCGAAAACCCATTGTGAGTTTTGTCTCTTAAACCCCCTTTTACAGTTCTTTTTTTTGGTTTAATTTCTCGATGAAGTTATTTCTTCAAGATAAATATTCTGTATAATTTTAGTGGTAGAAAGAGATAAGTGACGTCTCTTCATATTGAGAAAACTTTATCAAATATTTTAAGTTTTTGTTTTCTTTATTCTCTTTTATTAACTTAAGGTGGAGAATGGAAAGGGGTTGGGTTACATTTTTTCTAAATGGAAAATCATTAAAACAAGAATTTCTGTTTGGTTTCTGAGAAATGATAGGAAAAGGAAAAGGAAAATTTCTCCCTTGTACAGTACTTTGTTTGATCTTTTTTGTGAATTTGATGTTGTTTGAGTTTCATGCCTCTTACATTCTTAGACTCTTAGACCATGACTTGTCTTCCCTTTTCTATGCATTGGACATGTCTTAGGTACTGTTGATTTGGATTCTATCAGCAAATTGCTCAGATGGCATCACGTACTGTTGGTTTGATTCAAGATCAGAATTTAACTATTCACTACAATGGTACTACTCCCAACACTTTCTGTTCTGTTTTGATTGTTTAGTAATTCTTTTCCCAGTTGAATTTGATAATTGGAAGTGCCTTCTACAGGTGCTTCTATTGCAGGCAAGGCAAATATCTCTAAAGCACCGAGGAAAGGTGGTATTAGTGGAAGGAAACCTCTTGGTGATTTATCAAATTCAGTGATTCCAACCCCAAATCAGACATCAAAAAAGGATAATGCTAAATTTTCATTCACTGAGAAAGAGACCGGTGCCTCTAAACTCACACATGATTCAAGCAAGAAGAAGAGTGTTTCTAAAGGCTCAGAGAAAGTGCAAGGTGGTGGCAGGAAAGCTCTCTCTGACATTTCAAATTCGGGTAAGCCATGCTTGCAGGAGACATCAAAGAAGAATCAAACTGAAAAGTTAAGCATTTTGGCTGAGGATCCCAATCAACCTAAAGATATTGCACAGGAAGGATATCTGCACAATCATGAAGAATGCATCAAAGCGCAGAAAAGAGCTATAAGCACGAATGAATTCTTGCGGATACTTGGATTAGATGGTAAATAAAATTGTTACATGTTCAAATGTCTATTATGATTTAGTGTTTGGCTGGATACTTACATTTTTATATATGTTTTTGTTTAGATTTCTCCAAACAGTCTGCATCTGCAAAGGAACCTCCTATGTCAAACAAAATGATGGTCAGTTTTTGTTTCATTTTTGTTTTCCCATCTTAGTTGTTGTTTATAATGATGGTCAGCTTTAGCATATGGATTGTCGTAATGAATGCTAGTTTACTTCTGTTACAGCCGATGAGTCCTCCAAGGAACTTTGAAGCTGGGCAGATGACTGAGCTGCTGATTGAAGATCTGTCTCCCCCAAAGCATAAGTTGTCAAGGAAACTCGACTCTGCCCCACCAAGTCCTGAGCCACTGGACCATTACATGCACTGGAATGATCCTGAGTACATTCTCAGTTTTAAGTTGATAGAATCACCATAATGGTGAAAGCATTGATTTCCTTTGCCTCCTTGTCAATTCTACCTAGTAGCGTGTTAGAAGTAACCCATGTATTACAAATTGTTTTATTGTGGCTTGTACTGGACAGCAGTTGTTTTGCTAGTAGGTAAACATGTGGCAACTTATGTTGTATTCGGCTGTTATTTCTGCAAAATCTTGTTGAATTGCCTGCTATCCAGTTTACTTCTGCATCATAGATGTTAACTGTGAAGTGATATCAATCTAATTACACATTTTATGTTTTAAGTTATTAGACTGTGATGACAGGAGTTGGAGTGGCAAAGGTTGAGTTTGAGTAAATACAACGTTAAAAATTTTCAACACTGCTCTGCCTGTTTTTGTGATTTTCTCCCTACTACAGATCCCATGGTACCCTCATAAACTGAAAATCCATAACCCCAAGTGCTATAGCAATACCGTTTACCCGTGCCTATTTGAACAGCCCAAGTTAATCCTGCTTTTCTTTGATAAGAATCAATAGGATATTAATTCCAGTAATCTCTTCCACTTCTCGCATGTTCCTGTTCATACTTTTTTTAGCGATTTACATTGGATTTACAAATCACAGACTGTTGGCAGTAGTAGTGGAATCTAAGCCTTGCAAATGAATTGTTCGAATCTTACTAACTTAACGAACTCTGTTGGCATATTCATACTTCATTTACAACTTCATTTACAATTAGCATATAAACTAACATGGATAAGTTCGTTCTTAAGAAACCTTTTTCTTCAATGGAACAATGAAAATTTCCCCTAATCTAGCCATCAGGGACAAGTGTTTTTGGAAAATACATATACATATACTCTAATGAGGATAATCCAACGAATCAACATAGGACACATCTAAAATCGTTCCAAGAAAAGGAAACCAAAAGATGGAACAAATTAATAACAAAAAGAAAGACTTCCTTCGCCTGTTCTTCTTGGGGTTGCATGATCAGTCAAACGTTCCTGTCTCATCCGACTCCATTTCTCGAATTCTTTCAAGAAGATAAAACAGTTCCCTTCGTCAAAGTCCCATTTAAAGCTCCAAAGCTCCAACAATTGATCGAAGATTTCGGGCCTGCAATCGATGATGATGGGTCTATCAAGATTGGTGTCAAGACCATCGTTTCCTTGTGATCGTATCATCATTTGCTGGAACCTTGGAAGCGAAAGATACATGAGAGGAACATCGTACCTCTTACCCTCTTTGCCAACGTAAACTGAGACGTAAATTGTAGGAGCTTCGTCAATGGTTTTGACAACGCCATGATCAGACTCATCATTCACAAGGCGATGGTAACGATAGTACTTGCTGCTTTGACGTATCTTCTTGAGGAATGATCTGATTTTCCATGCCAACTTCATGGTGGAATCATCAACCAAGCTTATGATTCTTGAAAATATTCTTGCTCTCGAGAGAGTCATAATCTTTATGATACTTATTGCCTAATGAATATTTATGCCTTTTAGATTTGATACTATATGAGTATATTTTTGATTAATTTGTCTTCCATGGATACAATAGTTTATAAATCTTTGTTAATTATATATATATATATATATTTCTAAAATAGATCTGAAAATCTAAAATACGACACGGATATAATACAATTAAGATATGAATGATATACGGTTTAAAATTTTAATAATAATTATATATGAATTTAATAAAATAAAAAAAATATTTTATATTTTTATGTCAAACATGAATTGTAATATGTAATTTTTATATAAAATAAGGCATAAATATATGAATTTCAATATTTTATATGATATGAATACACGAATTATTAAATTTATTCTAAATATTTACTTTAATTAGAAAAATCAATTTGTAATTCGTAAAAAAATTAGTTTATCATTTTTTCTTTTAAATATTTGAAGAAACAATAATCTTGTGATATTTCTTTTAAAATTACATATCTAATTCCGTTCGTAATCTTATCGGAGTGAGGTAACTTCCTTATGAAGTCAAATTTTTTTATATATAAAAAATTTCAATAAAAGATCTTCCAACATTTAATAATTCTCAGCATATAACAATGAATATTATATTAATTCAGCACTTATAAGTCTTATAAAACATTTTAAGATGAAATCTTTCAAAATTGGAAATTTATCGTATCTTAATTATAATATATTATCTTGAAACTTTAATGCAAAGATAAGTTGAGATTCCGTGAAGACTCAGCTCCAAATTTGTTAGTGCATGCATATATTTAATTATAAAAAAATAAAATAAAATCACTTTCAGCTGAATATTACAAAAATAAGCTTTGAATCTTTAGATTTATATTCAAATTTTATTGTGTATAAGTTTCGTTCAACACGTTTATTGAGTTAAAAAGTATTATCGATACTTATTAAAATCTAAATTGATTTGAATTGAATGATAAAATAAAATAAAATAAAATAAAATAATTTATCAGCAATAATATAATTTGTTGATGTAGTGTTTAAGTCTTACTTTTTATGATTATAAATCAATCCCTGCAACTCAAGATAAAAGAAAAGACAAAAGCATCATTTCATTCCCTCGCTTGTCAACTATTTCCCTTTTTTTCTTGTCAAAATTTCAAATTTCAACCATGTGTGGCAACTTCAACTAGCTGTTTATTTTCTCTAATTGGATGGAGAAAAAGTTCTAAACGTAACTACTAGCTCAGTCTTAATTAGACACCTACATAACAGTTTATTATGCTGATTGATTAATTTAATTAAGCAAGATAGTTTCGTCTGAAATTCCTAAAAACAAATGCTTAATTAAGCTCCGACAATTAAATACGACTAATAAGTTTAAATTACTCCTTTTTTAATTGTCACATTAGCAATTTATATATATATATATCAAAGACGTAATTTAAAAATAAAAAATTATAAATATTGATATTTAATTAAATTTTACATACTGAATATTATCTTTTAATAATAATTATATGAATCAATTAAATTAAATTTAAGATTTATACTAACATGCTTTAATATGAGGTTCTTTCACTTTTATCATATGTATGAATATATATATATATATATATATATATATATATATATATATATATATATAGAGGAGGTCAAGACTTGAAAGAAATTAGGGAATAAAAATTTACAAAGTGTTGAGAATGAAACCTCGCTTTGTTGAAAATCACCTTCTAAAGAAAGTGGTTGAACATTTGGGCTCCACATAAGGTAAATAGTAACTTTAGAGATTTCATTGAAGTGAATTAGTTCCATTGTAAGCCACTCCTGAAATAAATTGCATCGTTAGTTTCTTTTTAATATTTTCTTAATTTTTTTTAATTCTTGACTTAAAAAACTCAATTTTTTCATCTACCACCTTTTAAATTTGTTCTCAATTCATCCATCTTAATATAGAAAAATTGTCATGATGTGGATTTGTGGACGTAACAAGTCAAATTTTAATGGATGAATCCATAAATTTAAAAGGTCGTGGATGAAAAAGTCTTATTGTTTTAAGTAACCAACGAAAATAAAATTCTATAAAAACACACAATACAGAAATTTCCTCCCACTCCATATTAATTGCAGTAGGACAGTGCGCCAACAAATCTGTAAGCCCCAACCTCAAGCATGTATTCATTTTCTTCCCATGCTTATGCTTATGAGGCACATTCATAAAGCTCCCTGCAAATTCTGTGTTTTCTGGCCCTATTGTCAAATCATCTTCATCATTAAAAAACTTATCAAATTTCACTGATGCATCTCTCTAACTCAATTTTCTCTATTACCAATGTCTCCTCTTCCTCTGCTTTTTCCTTTTTACTCCTTGATTTCTTTGGCCTTGGAATGTTAAAACTCACTACCTTGTCTAAAACTACTTGGAATTCACTGGTATCTGTAACCATTTTCTTTGTTTCTGCTGCTAGAGCCATTCCAGGACCAGCTATTGCTGCCGCCTCTTTCTTGGTGAGTTTTCGAGATGTTGGCTTTGCTTTTAGCCATGGAATATCAACATCTTGATAAACATATCCCAAAGTTTTACTATCAACGCAATCACGAACTTTGGCACGAGGAATCAAGCCAATCCGAGTCATTGTAATCTTTTCGCTTTCCTCCTAACGTCTTCCAAATGTTCCACATCCTATATATATTCGAGTGATGCGAATAGAAAATGGGGCCTCATCCGCCAGAGTAAAAATTCCCCATGTCTTTGAGAAGCGGCCGAGTGTTATCCCCACACCAGTCGGGAACCGTTCCATGAGGAATGTCCTCAATGGAGCCGATCCCTGGTTCAGGCTCATCAGGTGCACGGTAGGGACTTCCTAGGAAAAGCTTAGTGGTCTTAGATATCATCTGCCTGTACATGACTCTAAGATTCATTGTCAATTGATCTTCCTTCGTAATAGTTTCATCAGAGCCATTGTAATCGAGATCAACCAGGGTTGGTGTGTAATGGTTTCGATTCCGGAGCTGGTCGTAGTGTGGAGAATTAGTGTCTGTATAGATTGCAGGCATTTGCATACCAGCAGGAGAATCTCAGTTCCAAAATGGTACAGCAAAAGTTGGGTCATCAATCAAATTTCCCAAAATTTTCTCAAAGAAATAAAGATAGTATCTATGGGATGGAAAGAAGAGCCATGAGTTATGGATTTGAAGCTCAACATCAGGGAACCCCAATTGGTGATAAGCCCTGTCACAGTAAGCACAGTGAATATTTGCTTGCGGCATGAAACTACGAGGATCATTGGCTGGAAAAGCTTTCATAAGCTCCATTGCCCTGGAATACTTGGCAACATAGGAATCATCAACTAAATGTGCAGCAGGCCTAACACGTAATGGCGAATTCCAAGATGAAGGTGGCTTAAAATCTGTTATCTTAGTTGACATTGGTGGTCAACAATTGATATTTACACCATCAGTTATGCTTACATTGCCACATTCAGCAACAGATATTGGAGCTGAGGTTGCACTAGGGCTGATTGCACCATATAGACCTGATGATCCAAGGCCAATCAGAACATCGCTTCTATCATATTTGTTGGGGCTAGGATTTTGGTGATCACCATTTGTGGCTTTGGATGATAAGACTTTTGGAATGAACTTAGCACTTGGTTTCTTGATATGGAAATTTGGGATGTTTTGGAAGGAAATTTGAGATAGAAATGGTTGTGGCTGATGATTGAAAACCAGAAGCCATAGGTTTTTTTTTATTATTATTACTATGAAGAAGATTGGGAGACCTTGAACTGTATTTATAGTGAACTTTGCAAAAGAAAATTTGTAATTAGCTGTTGAGGAAAGATTATAAAACTTTGAATTTCTAGAATTGGAAATTCCCAATTTCACAAATGTTCATCCTCGGTCGGATAATTTTTTTCACAACATATATGGTTCATGCATGAACCATATGGTTTTCATAAGTAATCACTTTCAAAGTGATCATTTTCACTCTACAAGTTGTGGATTTCGTCTCAACATCTATCATCGAAACATTCAACCATTAATATATAGAAAAATGTGATAGAAAATTGTAGCAAGAAATAAAATTACATGAAAAATGTAACTACTATATCGATGAATTTTGGGGTTGTTAATGCGAAATATTAACATCTCATATTATGTAATTTCATTAATAAATAAAAAAAATAATTTTCCATGCATGAGTAAAATGCCATGTATAAAAACCCTTATATAATGCCCTTAACTATAATATGTATAATAACATTATATCATGTATAATCTTATAGTATTAAAGATTATAGTTAATGTTAGTTGGTTTTTACGCTTTAGTCATTTCAATTATTATTATTTTTTAATTTCCAAAACAAAAAATGCTATTTGGATGGTAGGAATATGTTTGTCTTCTAACTTAATTTATTAATCAAGCCAAGTTGGATTAAGTTTTATTACAATAACTAAGGTTTGGTCCTTTTTTAAACATGTTTTTTATTTGTGTCCGACCCATTTAAAATTCATTTAAAAAACTTGATATTTTCATTTAAACTTTTTCAAATATTGGTCGAGTTTTTGGATTTGAACAAGTAATTCCATTCTTAGACAAGTGTATCTCCATCTCATTTTTTTGTCTATTTTTTTAATGTTTTAAAACTATTTTTTTAAGACTTAAATATTTTATTTTTTTTCTATTCTAAATTATTTTAAGGATTTTTTACATTTTAACATTAAAAATTATGAAATATCAAATTTATAAAAAAAATAAAAATTTCATATTATATATATATATATATCAAAATCAAAGTTTTTTTTTCTTAAATTTTGTGAAAATAAGTAAAAGATTAACAATTTAAAACAAAAAAGAGTAAATACTTAAAATTTTAGATTCTTAATTTTTTAATATTAAAAAATTTAATTTATCAAGCAACACCTTATTAAAAAAAATCTAAATTTTCTTGAAAATTGAAATTACTACTATTAAATAATAAATAACAATGTTATATTGCAATATCTAATTTTATTGATTTTCAAAAAAAAAAAAATCATTAAATCGACAAGCTGAACCGGTTGAACCTCCCTATTAAAAAACAGCGGCCGATCCAATCCGGTTTAACTTTTTCGGCAGCACCAGACAGAAATCAAAGAACTAAAAACGCCTATTCGCTAGGAGACTGATATCATCATCTCTTTCTTTCTCGCAGCAAAAAGCCTTTTCAAATTTTCTTCCGATTAACTTAAAATGGTCGTCAAATCTCACATAATTACAGGATTGAACCTCCCTTTTAAACCCACTGCTTCTTTTTCTTTTTCTTCTTCAACCTCCACGACTAGTAACAGCCTCTGTTTAGTCAAGAAACCACTCACTTCTTCCTTCTTCAATGGCGGGGGTACCCTTTCTTTTGATTTTTCTCAATTTTAATTTTAATGGGTATTTGTTTTTTTTCTTATAAAGACAGTAAATTTATATTTATTATGATGGGACGTATCAAATTTGTAATTTTTCTTTAAAAAAGTTTTTGCTTTACATTTTTTGATAGCTTGAGTAGTGAGAAAGAGGGTTATCATGGAATGTTATTTGATAAATGTCTTTGTTCTATAAGCAGCTGGTTTATTAGGGTCATAAGCTCATGGTTTATTTGAAGCTCTAAAGCTTTGTTGAGTGGTGAATCAACATGGGTTCTTAAAGACATTAACTTTGTTAAAGCAGAAATGGTTTTGTGGGTAATAGCATTTATATGATTTACATGTTAATAAAGTTAAACCAATTCAATGATATATAAAAGATTGATAATTAATTTGTTCAATTCTCCTGCAATTATGTAAGCTTTTAAATAAGGGCCTTTTTTTGGGTAATGAAACATTGAATTGCTTGTCCTGTGAGCCACCATCTTTTCAATCCATTTTCTTTAATTTCCATTTTCTCTAGTTTATCTTTCATCCCATTTTTCTATTGTTTGACTATATTATTTGCATTCTAGGTGATGATTTGGGAGTAACATGAAAGATTGAAATTAAATGGAATAGGACATTTTCTTATTCTAGTACATGACTTCATCTAAAAGAGCTGAACACCAACATATAAAGAAGGTTAACTTATCCTTTTAACAAAATTTTCCTTTTTTTTAAAACAGTGGCCGCCTTAAAAATTACAATCATAAGGACCCCTCCAGGAAGATCTCATTGTCATGGACAAGGTGGAGGTGCCCTTGGTGTGCGCATGAATCTTTTTGATCGCTTTGCTAGAGTTGTTAAGGTCAGATTTTAGGAATTGTTTTTATACATTAATGTACTTATATTATGGCTTCAGATTCCAACTTTTGAGGTGTTATAATTATAACTTGACTCAGTTCACTGATAATGGCAGTCATATGCAAATGCACTCTTAAGTTCCTTTGAAGACCCAGAGAAAATCTTAGATCAAGCTGTGCTTGAAATGAATGATGACTTGGTGAAGATGAGACAGGCCACGGCACAAGTAAGCCTCATAATATTTTATTTCTTGAGTTTCGTAAGTTGTCTTTTAGCTCCTTTCTTTCAATTCTCTTAATTTCCTTTTTCTCAGCTTCCTTTTCATTGATTTTTCTATTCTTTTGTTCTCTTTGTTTCATAATTGCATTGCATATGTAGTCAACTATGGATGCCTAGCTGGTTTTAGAAGTTTATATTTTTATGCAATTTTCTATTCTGCCTTTCTGTGTAATTTTCTTCCCACTTTACATATGCACAAGTTATCCTTTTTATTTTTTCGAAGGTTTTAGCATCTCAAAAGCGGTTGGAAAATAAGTACAAAGCTGCACAACAGGCTTCTGAAGATTGGTGATTGATTAAGGAGTTTTTTTTTTTTTTTTCTTCTTTAGTCTGCAGTGTATGCTGGTGTTGAGGTGTCCCCATTAAGTTTTGATTTCATATAGGTACCGTAAAGCACAGTTGGCTCTTCAGAAAGGAGAAGAGGATCTTGCACGGGAAGCCCTCAAGAGGCGTAAATCTTATGCTGTAAGATTTCATCTTGCTAGAAAATATATTTTTTTGAGCAATCATTATAAAATCAATCCATATCTACAATTTCTTACTCTAAATTTGTAAAAGAACACTCATGAAGTTTTCTTCTGAGTACTTGATTTCATCAAGATGATATGACACCTAGAATTTGATATATAACTGGTAAAATTTCCCTTGTCAAAGGTTTCCCTGAACTATTTTGTGTCTTGAAAGGCTTGGAGAAACTGGAAAGTTAGATTAACAAACTTGGTGTAGTTTAGCCCAATAGTCAGTGACTTGGTGTGATTGGAATTTTTGAGTTTACTATTTTAATGTAAGGGGAAGGTTTGATTTGGGGTTGCAACAAAGAAAAACATATGAGGTTTATAATGCTGAGCTTGGGCTTTTATGGTTCTAGCATATTTGCTCCATGAAAAAGTAGAGGAGGGTTAGAAAAGGATACTGAATTTATAGGGAGAAAGAATAAGAATAGAGAAGAGAAGATGAGTTGATGGCAGGTAAAAAAGAAATGCCGATTGAAGAATTAAAGGCATTTAGGATATTTCAATTGCTTTATCATATTCTTATGGGTCTAATTTTAATGTCCAGCTTGTAGGATATTTTAGGGTTAAAATTGGTATTTTCCCTTTATTTAAGGTTTAGATATAAGTATTTTATGTTATTTCAGTTTCTGTTAGCTTTGTATTTAGATTATTGAGAGTTTGAGATTTAAGTTTTTGGAATCAGACTTTGTTCTTCGATATGTCCTTTCTATTTACTCCTCTTCTCCCAAATTTCTCTATTGTTTCTTTTTCCCTTCTAATCTCTAATTTCTCCTTATTTCCCTTCCTGTTGTACGTTATAAGAACTGCTATCATGTGGTAGCCATATGAACCCATTTAAAATAAACTACAAACCATATAAAATTATATGCCAAATGAGATTCATGGCATTCCGACATAGGCTTGTTTCAACAACACAAAGTTGCAAAACCACTAGCGAGCATAATAACCTGATTGAATGGCTTAGACTGTGTAGCTGATGCATAGAATTTTCTAGGGATTGAAAATGGCTTTTTTTTTTTTCCTGGTTTTAGAAACTGTTACTTTAATTCATAGTTCCTAAAAGAGATATCTTTTTTCTGATTGAATATTTGATGTCCTTTTTGTTGCAGGATAATGCTAATTCATTGAAAGCACAACTTGATCAACAGAAAAGTGTTGTTGAGAATCTTGTCTCTAACACACGGGTATGTTTGTATTTATCATTACTACTATTAATTCCTCTCAAATATTATTCATTTAGATAATTTGGTCGGGAATTTTATTGTGAATGTCATATATTGCCTTAGGTCTGAAATGCACTGTGTTGAAATGTTTGTCGTGAATACAGACAGATGATTATTATGTGTTGGTGAATGAGACATGAAAGCCTAAAGGTTAAAGATCTGTTTGAAACAAAGAGGCTGTGAGGAATAGGGAGGAAAGAATGTTGTAATTTTATTTTTTTGATCTTGGTGTTATAGATTATAGGTTAAATAAGAACATGGAATAAGTTAGGTGAGGGAATTGAACTATTATCTTGCTATATTTGATCCAGTAGTTAGAGATAATAAATCAAACTGAAAAAAAGAATGGAGCAGTTTTAGCTGCAATGCCAAGTGGCCGAATTATCAGTGATGCTTCGTGTCAGCAATGTGTAGGGAATTTGCAAGATATCTACTAGCTGACAAATTAACCTCTCTATTTTGCTGTATATGCCTTCTAATATAATTTGTAGGTCGTTTTGTTTTCATGTATGGTTTTACGGAGATTGCACTTTGCATATGTATTTTGGCAGAAATCTTTTATACCCTTTTAGATCATTTAAAGTTTAACAGCATAAACCCCCATTTATCATCATCATGGACCAGAGTGTTAGGCGCAACTTCTAAAGTTATGGGATTAGAAGTGATTTTCGCCCAAACCTTATTGTTGGAAAGTATAATTTGCTCTTGATTTCATGAAAGGTTTGTGAAGTACTGTCACAGAGGAAAGAAGTAACCTTATGGAATTAAGAGAGAACCTGAAGATGAGAATAAATTTGGGAGTTAAAGTCCAGTGGTAGAATGTGAACTATTATAACTTGAATGGGGTAATAACATCAACTTGCACTATGTGATTATGGCTAGGCACTAGTGATGTAAGGTGGTATATTGAATAATGAAAGTATATGATATGAGTGGGCTATGCAGTGATAAAATGAACAGTAGCAGTCATTTGAAAGTGATGAAAAGGAGAATGTATCAAGTCTTTAGAAAGATAAACCAAAAAGTGAGTTTCAGAGCAGTTAGGGGCGGAAGGTTTCTGAATGAATGACAAGATGTTTGTTTCTTCTATCGAATGGAGGTTTTAGTGGTGTGTCTCAACCAATAAAAATTCTTATGCTAATGAAATCTTTGAAAATTAGGGGAATAATCACTGAAAATTTATGAGACAGTGGAATTTGAGCATCTTTGAAACAGGTATGGGAGACATTGCCCTGCTTTCATTCTCGTGCAAATCTTTTCATATTATCTTAATAACAAGGACTAATTTTGGACTGTATCCCCAATTTTAAGAGTTAATCCTATTATAATGTTATTTTTCCAAAATCCATCTCACATTTTGCCTTGGAATTGAGTGCCTCCTAACAGCATCTTGGAGTTATTTTGGATAAATATTGGGTAAAATATGGAAATAAATGAACTAGGAAGCCTATCATATAAATTCTTAGACTAAGGCATAAGTTTTGCTTTAGAATTATGACTGATTCAGTAAATGACATGCTTAGCATATTGTTTTTATGAAAATAAAATTGATGAAACACTTAATAAATAAATAAATAATAGTTGTAATAAGAAAATTATCCAAGTCATTTTTTTTTATCTTCTTATTATTTGCACATTGATGGATTTGTTATGATTGCATTACCTGAATTCCATTTTGTGTAGCTTCTGGAGAGCAAGATACAAGAGGCAAAGTCAAAGAAAGACACTTTGAAAGCTCGTGCTCAGTCCGCTAGGTAGTCTCCACTATTCCCATTGGTACCCTCCTTTTTCTTTGTGTTTTATCACATTGAACTTTCTGGTCATGATCACTTTGATGTTACTTCAGAACTGCAACTAAAGTAAATGAGATGGTGGGAAATGTCAACACTAGCAGTGCTTTAGCAGCTTTTGAGAAGATGGAAGAGAAAGGTGAGTTAATCTTTGCTTGGAAGCTTTTGTTTCACGTGAGAATCCCATTACTTCATGGTTCGGGGTTAGTAAGATTGCAATTTTGACATGATGGAAAGTGCACATAGTAAAGCTTTTTTAGCCCTGTGATAACCGTCTAAGGTGTAATTTGTGCAATATTTCTATAATGAGACCTATCTTAAACATAAAAATCTCATCCAATCAAATTATTGGGTAATTTGTTCCAGTAGACTGACACAATATCTCCAGTTCAAGCTTAGGAAGTTGAGGTGTGAAGAAGCTTCCTGAGTTAAAAAAATATCTATGTTGCTAAGGGATGTGAAGAGTTCTAAAGTTTGGATATGTGCGTCCTTTTTGGTATACTCTCTCTTCTTAGTTGTGAAATGCTGATGTTTAATTAACTATCATTTTCTGAACTAAATATTTCATAAGAAGTGGTGCTATTAATAATCTTATTATATCTAAAATCATCCTTGTCATGCACCTGGTGATTGGTGATCCTTCCATGCTAAATGCAGTTCTTGATCACTCAAGATTAACTATCTCCCAGATTTATTGTGGTTGATAATCAATCTATAAGAATTAGATTTGATCTGAACTCATCTCATATGTTTTTTTTTCCTTGCCTTCTTCTTTTGACAGTTTTGGCAATGGAGTCTGAAGCGGAAGCTCTGGGGCAGTTAACCACTGATGATCTTGATGGGAAGGTAGTGACTGCTCTATCTTTATTTTTGGCATTGTTTAGATTCGATTTAAATGTTCTATGGCCAAATTTCCATTGTTGATATTTGATAATTTGCATCATTGTTGTTGGTGACCCTCCTAGCCAGGTATTTAATGGTGTTAATAGCTTCCAGATGGCTTTGCTAGGAAATGTTAATTTAGCTGTAGATTTAAGCTTTGATTCATTCTTTCTGAAATTGGAACTTACTTTCTGAAATATTTTTTTTGAGGTTCTCCAAGGATATGATAGACGGTAAAGGTTTTCCTGTAATTTCCTTGAAATAGATGGAAAGTCAATTAGATATGGTAGCGATTGTTTTCTGTAGTTGTACCATGAAAGAGGTCATGTTAATAGGGATAAGTAAAGTTTTCGTGAATTTATGATAAAAATTATTAGAATTATAGTTAGTTATTCATCAGAAAAGTTGCTTCTCATAGTCTGGATTGTCTTATGACCTGAAAATTCATAATAAGAATACAAGACTACTTTGTAGTGCAGTTCACATTTGTAGCACCCTTTTGCTCTGATAATTTGATGTTTCTGATCATGTACTTGATAGTTCCTTTCCACAAATTTACTTCTTTTGATTCTTTAATAAACCCGTTACTTAAATTTGCAGTTTGCATTACTTGAGAGCACATCGGTTGACGATGATCTTGCAAATTTGAAAAAGGAACTCTCTGGTAGCTCACAGGTACATCTCATTCTTGTTTTATGAAAAATGGAATTCTGTATTATAGGATTAGGTTTCTCTCACTTATAACTTTCCCTAGACTAGGCTTTTAAAATTAAATTTTAACAATATGTTTAGCTCTTTCTGGTTGTTGGTGAAGAATCAGATTTAGAATTGACAAAAAATAAATTGACTGAACATTCAGAATTGTTCTGCCTTTTTTTTTGTTTCTTTCCCTGGTCTCTTTTGGCAACTAAAGAGTGATAGTAAGTTTTCCCTCGGTCAAAACCGCAAAGTGGTTCTTCCAGCTGTGAGCCATGGAGCTCTAGGAAGGAAGTGTCTTGAATTTCAACCTTTTGAGATGTTTTAATTTTTCTTTTTCCTGTTCTTCTGACTAATAGAAAGGAGAGCTTCCACCTGGAAGAACCGTTTCTGCCAGCAACAAGACGTTTCCATATCGAGATGCTGAGATTGAAATGGAGCTCAACGAATTGAGGCAAAAGGCAAAGGACTTCTAAACTTTCTGATCTCGATACCCAAATCTTTGGATTTTTATTTCAAGAACAAACCTTCTTCCGACTGTCAGTAAGCTAGAGTCCAAACAGATCATTCTGTATAGCTGCAGTCCAAACTCAATCAACCATAGCAATTTTTGGATGGTTATGTACATACTTTGTGTATTACACTAGGTGATCATTGTCATGTTGCACTCATAACCTAATGTGCACCTACGGCAATGACCCATGTTTTTGGATTTTGTATTCAATAGCTTGTTAATTATTCAATTAGTCTTCCTGGCAACTAGGTGTTTTAGTATGTTATGCATACCATGACAAAACCAGAATTGGCCGCAACAGTTTTGTATGTATGTGAGCAACAAAACGATAGCTGTCGTCAATTACAGACGGCATGCAAGGACTGAGTCTCGATTCCCTGGCTTGGGTTGGCTACTTTTTGACTGTCTCTTCTGAATGAAAGCAAGGAAGGAGAGATTTGCAATATTTCAGTTGATTCAGGTACATTAATCAGTGTAAAGTACACAAATTTCGTTCAATTGCCCAATGTGAGGCTATTCAATGGCTGAAAATTTTGCTTAAGAAATGAAAATGACGGTTTAAAAATAGGCAGATTGTATGAATGTGGCTTGAAAATTCCTTCTCTAATCGTCACGGCAATGTACGATTGGGAGCCTTGGACACCGTAGAAATTGCTTACCAAAGAAAAAGGATACGTGTAAAAACTTTTAGCTGAGGGAAACTATAAAAATCAATGCATATTGCGGTCATTGGACGGAAAATCAAGTGACATCACAGTAGCTTCCTTCTTAGCAAGAGTTTCATTCTTTTCTTGCACACCACTCCTTTTTAATTAAGCAATTAGTAACAGTCCTGCTTAGTCAAATTTAAAAAATAATAAAACCAAAACTTTTTTGTTCTTTGATTTTATAGATAAATTTTCTTGTTGAATCAATTGGAACATATTGTTTTATGTTAGCTTTAATGAATTAACATAAAATTATCTTGTCATAGTGTCTTAACGGATTTAAATCTAGACAATAAAGATTTTATTTATTTTAATCTTTAACTACGTATTATTCTGATAATTAGTATCTAGAGGATGACAAAAACCAACTTTTTGCATATCCCAAGTCATGGAAAAGGGCACTTCATGCAATAAATTCAAGTGTTCAAACAATTCGGGCCATTGACACATTCAACATCCCAAACCTTGCTCCACCCTTTCCTAGCACAAACCAAACCAAGCCCTTTTCACTTTAATTTTATCTTTCCTTTTTCTGCCTTCATGACTGGTTCAAAAACTCCTTGGTCAACACGTAATCTCTTAAAAACCAAGCCATAACACCTTCACTAGGGTCCAACTCCAACCACCTCTCCTATATATATATACCCCATTCGCCTCCATATTTCATCATATACTTCACACAAAGTAATCAAAGGAGTTATAGTTTCAGCTCAGGCCACGTAAATACAATCTTTTTCAAAGATGAATAGCAGAAAAGTAAACACCCTTTTGATCATTTTTGTGATCTCAGTAGCCATTTACAGCCAAATTGGAGTCGAGGCAACCAGAGTGTTACCAGAGGATTTTGCAGTGGCAAATCACTTGGAGACATACTCGTCAGTTTACGAGAAGGCCAAGTTCACAATGTCGTGCTGGCTCGGGCGGTTGGCTTCAGGTCCTAGCCCTAGAGGACCTGGTCACTAGAACAATTCTAAGTCTGAAAGTCCAATTAAAAGGATCAATATTCCCATACGTGACTAGAAGAAATTATACTCAGTTTTATTATCAATTTATTGTTTTAATATTTTTTTTTAATTTTTGATTTTCTTCTTTTATAGATAGGTGCAAGATAAATACTGCAGCTTCTGCCGATTGCCACATATAGAATTATATGTGCAAATATTGTAAATTGATAAATAAAAATACTTTGATTTTATAAGTTGGATAATCAATATGAAAGTAAACCGCTCTAATCTTTTACTATATTTATAGGAGAAATATAAGTATACAACTAATTATATTTTAGAATCTTTACTAAAATGCTCAAGCAAGCAAAGATGTATTCCTCTCTCTTTTTTTTTTTTTTTTTCGATCTTTGATACTTTATTTCCATTTTTATTATCAATAATTTTGGACTATACAATAAAAAAATAGTTTCTTCCGTCTAAGATATGCATCATTTCTTTTTCAAGATTTTGAATACTAATTTTCTTTTTGATAGAAAGAAAGTAGTACTTTGAGGATAAGATAAGAGATTACAATAAAAATTTAAATTTATTATAATTTTAAATTCTAGTTATTGAATGTTGGGACAACCAATACATTCGGACATGTTAGTTAACTAATATTTGACAAAAAGTGAAGGGATAAAATAATGAAAACGCGTTAAACCAAAATATAAATGGGTATATATTTGCATGGGCGTGCATGTATGTACGGAGTCAAAGTTAAAACCAACCAATGACATGAACGTTCATACCTCATATTAGGGATGTATTAGGGATGTAATCGAGTCAAACTAAATTGGTACAATAAGAACTTTGAATTCGAGCTTAATTTGAAATTGGTTGTTCAAAACTTGGCTCGAAGTTGATTGGGTTTTAATTTTCAAAGTCTAATTCAACTCAAGATAAAAATCAAACTATATGAATTTATTTGATTAAATTCATTTAATAAAAATGAAATTGATTTTCATACTCAATTTCAAACTTGATTATATATTTGAATTCAAACTTGAGCTCGAATTAATATATATATAAAGGTGAAATAGTAATTTTTAATTAAATAATAAAATTATATTAAAATTTAAAAACTCAATTAAGCTCGTGAGCTATTTGAATCGAGTATTAAGATATTCGAACTCAACTTACTCGATAAGTTGAGCTGTTCGAGCTCAAGTTTGATTCGACAATGACTAAGCTGAATTCGAATTTTATCCAAGTCTAACCCGAATAACTTACAAATATTAATATATCATTTACACATCTACTCTATATTCATCATCCATGCACCAACCAATTATTTTTTACCTACTCTTACCTTTTTGTGATAAAGGCATGATTTTACCCTAATCTCAACTCTCAAGCCACTTGAGTTAAAACTTAAGATAGGAACCCCCTATCAATATCTGATCATCATGTAATTTGTTCATTTACATTTCTATCTTCGGATTCAATGCTATTTTTAGTGAGTCATGAATTGAGAATCAAATTTATTTTGATAATTTTTGCTACAACTTAAAAATGTTCGAGTTTAATTCGAAGATTCAATTCCCTTGTTATTATTAATTTTTAGCCAAGTTTGAATATGTTGAACTGTTGATATGAAGCTAATTTATTGAGTTATTCATAGTATTCACATATGATACATGCTTTTTATGTGTTATAGAATAAATTTTTATATTAATTACTTTGACCTCAAGTCAATATTTTGAAATAGAAATTTATGTGGGGTAGGTGGATTTTGATCAACAATTAAATAAACTATGAAGACTTTTAAAAAGAATAAATTGCCCGTACTACTAATATATATCATCAACAACTAAGTTCATGTGATGGTGTCATGAGTTAAGACTTAAGAGGCATTGTAATTTAGTTAAAATTATATAAAAATAAAAAACTAAACCAAAGTATCAAATAATAGGAAATTAATATCAAACATGTAACAATAATTGCACAAGAATTAATCTTCTATTTTTAATTTCTTAAAATGAAGTAAAAATTAGGTCCTAATGTTTGTTAAAATATTGCTTAAATTCTAAAATTTATAAAATGTTTTATTATATAAACATAATCTCTAAATATGATCAAGATATATAATTTAATAGGGTTAATGACTTCTATGTCTCGAGTTTAAACTCTTATCATAATTCAAAAGACCAAAAAAATTTATAATTTATAATGTAAATAATTTTATTTACCAAAACATACCAACATCACATTTTTGAATATTTGATTCAATTATACAAGTATGATATTCATTTTTTTCCCAAAAAGAAAAATTATTGTGTACTATGCTTAAGAGTAGACTTTGGCCTATGCATAGATTGTTTAAACTTGGTTTTAGCTAAGTCATTTTTTTTAAAAATTTATTGCTGTTTAAAATTAAATTCATAGTTATATATTAAAACTAATTCTTATAATATGAATATAAACATTTGATTTTGCCAAAGCTAAACTTGAATTAATCCTAGCTAACTTGAGTTTGCCTTAGAGATCTAATTCTATCCCATAAATTAGTTAACACTTGCATGATTACAACCGATATTGTAGTGTGAAAATAAAAAAAATTATAAATATTTAAATTTAAATTTATTAAATATCAGATCTATTATCATTCATCTTGGCAGTCAAATTCAATATTAAAAATATTCTAATAATTAGCACTTGCACGTATATTAATACTTACTTTTGCGGCAGTTTTTCATATTCCTCATGGCAGGCCAACCAAGCAACCAACTTTAGTCAAATTCAATATTTCTAACATTTGGACTTCATTAAACGTAATATTATTTCTCATTGAATCTCAGCCTGACTGTCATAAAATGACAAAAACACCCTTCACCTTTTATGCACCCAAGGAATGAAAGAAAGGGTTATCCCAGTAAATTTGAACATTCAATGGACTATAGCAGCCATTGACAAGTTCAAAATCACGATGTACTGTTTCACCTTTCCCAGCAGCAACAGTTCAGCCCCACGACCTAGTTTTTTTATTTCCTGTTTCAATCTATGACTTAGCTCAAACTCCTTGGTCAACACGACATTCGACAGTCCTAAAAGCCCACCATTTGCCTAACCTTTTTTCCACGTATTTCAGCTGTTCTAACCGGGCTTTGCAAACCTGGTTTTTCTATATATATACCAGATATTTACTTCCAATTTCTCTTCATTCACAACATCAAGAAACCAAAGCTCCTCCTCTTACTAAGATTTTTAGCCTTTTGCCCACGTTTAGATTAACTTTTGGGAAGATGAATAGCACAAAACTGAGTACCCTTTTGATCATTTTTGTGATCTCAGTGGCAGTGCTGAGCCATGTCGGTGTTGAAGCTACCAGAGTTTTGCCTGAGGATTTTGCAAAGGCGAATCACCTGGATGCATACTCTGCGGTCTACCAGAAGGCAAAGTTCACGATGTCATACTGGCTCGAGCGGTTGTCTTCGGGACCTAGTCCTCAAGGACCTGGCCACTAGATCGACCTCATGCCCATTCGCCATGGAAATTAAACAAAGTATATAGTAAAAAAAAACATTTTTG